AGCAGTGCTTGGGGGCTTCCAGGGCTGCATCTGCCGATGTTGGATGACCAGGTTGTGCCAGGGATCACAGTGGGATCAGCTGCATGCAAGGCCTGTGCCTTTACCCCTCTCCTGACTCTGACCCTTTGTTGTTGCTTTTAAAACTGGAGAGCTCTCAAGAGTGAGAACTGGAAATGTTTGGGATTGACCCTGACAATTTATAACGAACTCTGTAGGGGCCAAGGAAAGCTCAGAAGGCCTGCGGGAGGCTTGAGGGGTGACCCTAGAACTAGGAGTGGACCATGAGCACTGTCAGGCATGGCCCCCAAACCAGAGAAAGGAAAATCATTTTCAGGTTGGATTGATAGCACAGTGGGTAGGGCTCTTCAGACCGCAGTGCCTCTCTGGCCTATCCCCGCAGCATGCCAGGATGATCCCTGAGTGCCCAGTCAAGAGTGAGCTGGGAGTGGCCCCCAAACACACAGTAACAATTTTCTCGGAAAGTGTTTAACTGGGGTTGGGGTCGGGGAGCAGAGCTCTCAGCTGAGTGAACACATGTAGGAAGCCGGGCTTTGACACCCAGCACCCCGTGGAGTGCCCTCCTGTGTGAAGCCAGTGTGGCCCAAAAAGAAAGTGTTTCCTGGGCTGGGGATACGGCTTACATTCTCTCGGTGGCATTGTTAGGTGTGACACCCACAATGGGGAACAAAAAGTGAGTAACGACTAGTGGATGCAGAAGATTGGTCACTGTTGCTTTTCACATGTTTCTGTCTAGTTTCTCTGAAAACATGAGTATTGCAGCTGGCCTTCTCATTGCTGCCTGCTGGAGTCCCTCCCCATCACTGCCTGGCCTCTGCGGGACAGTCACTTGCTTCACTGGGCCTCGGCACACTTAGGAAAGAACCGGGAGAGGAGCTGGTTGCTGCGCAGGGGCCTGAGGAGTGTGCAGGTGCCGCTCCCGCCCCTCCAGCTCTGGGCAGCCCTCAGAGGGCCAGAGAGTTTGCGCAAACTGCCACTCTGGCCCGGCCAGTCCACTCTCCACACGCACACAACCATGGTGACCCTCTCAGTGAACTCTTACTTATGGTGTGTTCTGTAGCATTTTGTGTACTTTGTTTCACTTTTCAAAAATGCGATTTGGGCTGCCTCTGGGCCCCTTGCTGTAGTTTCCCGATGTCAGAGCTCTGGACGCTGGGCCTGTCTTTACATGGTCACTCATGCGGGGCCGCGGTCAGTGGGGCTGGGCCCTGCGTGCGTGCAGCCTCTTCTCCATCCCGAGAGACTCAGTCAGCTTCCCTGCCGGCTGATTCCGAGCCTGCTGGACCACTCTTCTCATTCACAAAGGGCTCGCTGTTAACAGATACTCTGGGGTCTTTCCGGCCGCAGATGCTCCCGTGTCCAGCTCAGCCGTTGCTGAGTGTCGCGCACTCCTACCAGAACCCCCCACCATGCAGTCCTGACTGCTCTGCTGTCAGCCGTGGTTCCCGTGTGTGTGTGTGTGTGTGTGTGTGTGTGTGTGTGTGTGTGTGTGGTGAGGAGAGCTGCGCAAGCCCCCTCAGGGGGTGGTGAAGGCATCCTGCCGTCGGAAGCCACATCAGCCTCAGCATTCGTGTTTGTGTTTTTGTTTCTGGGGCTCTTACCCAAAGCCGCTGCGTCCTCCTCCCAGCAGAGCCGCACAGGGTACGGAAGGAGGGTCGCTTCCAGTGGGGCGTGGAGGGCAGCATGGTGCCAGCCCTTAGAGCCATATTCCGTCCCCGATCCCAGCTTTTGTTGCTCCTCGAGCGCCTCTGCAGGCCTTTGAGCGACTGGGGACTTGTGAGGGTGTTTCTGCCTGTCCGCGTTTGGTTTCTCCCGCTTCCCTGCGTTCCTCTTGGAGCCCACAGGTAGTTACCGTCTGCTTGTCACTGAGTCCGCCTTTTGGAAGGATGATCGGAGGGTGGGTTTGTGAGGGCGACGGCTCACTGAGTGGCTGGTGTCTTTGGATGGGAGATTGTACCCCGGGAAAAGTGCTGGGTGGCAGAGACGTGTGAGACTGGGGAGCGTACAGGTGTGAGAGGCCTCTTCCCTAGGCCTCTTCCCTCTTCATCTCCAGCATTTTGGGCCCCCTTTGCCCTGAGACTCCAACATGTGCCTTTTCTCTCATGGGCAAGACTCTCAATTCACCCAGGGAGACACTTCCTCCATCCCGCTGGCTTGCCCAGGTGGTCCCTGTCCACAGCTTCATCCCAGGGACGAGTGTCCCTTACTGACGGGAGCACCCTTTCTGGCTGCCACTGTGGACACCTCCTCTCAATCTCAGTGTCATTTCTTCTAACCCTCAAAGTTCTGGGGCCAGAGAGCACAGTGGACGGCACACCTACTTTGCATGCAGGGGCTTCAGTTCCATCCCCGCCCGGCCGAAATTGGCCCCAGACCGAACCAGAAGGCCCCTCCCCGGTTTTTTGTTTTCAGTACGCTCCCAGAGCACCGAAGGGCGCTGGTCCCTGCTTCGTGTCGTGGAGAGGAGCAGAGCTTGTTTGCTCACTGACAGTTGACAGTGGTCATGCAGTGCCTACGTAGAGGATGCAGTGTGGCCTCTGGGGCCGGTGGGCAAGTATGTCAGCATATGCACGAGTGGCAACCCTGACTGGGCAAGGCTGATAGCTGGCCCCAAACTGACTCTGGCCCTCGGGCCTCTCTGTGAGTGTCTTGGAACAAACCCCAAGGCACATTCTGATTGTTTTCAGCTCTTTTGTTGGTGTTGGTGTTCAGGGCTTACTCCTTCCTCCGTGCTCCAGGAACACTCCTGGCAGGACTCAGAGATCGTGTGGTGCTAGGGGAGTGTCCTCCCCAATCTCCCTCCGGCCAGTGCCATTCTCCCTCCCCCCGCCCAAGATCGGGCATCAGGAGATTTACCCCCTTCTCACCTACTTTGCTCATCAGAGACTAACAGTGCACCCGTGAGTGTTCTCTGTGATCGACACCTCAGGAGAAAGCGTGCAGATTTTCAAGGCGTTCTTTAATTTCGATTGGATTTTTGGAGCGCTTGCCCCCGCCCCCTCTTAGAAGGTCTTATTACTTAGCCATGCCTGTTTTCTGTGATCACAATGGAATTCAATGCTTGACAGTGCCCTGGAAGAATGAAACAGGTGTGACTTTCAGAATGAAACCCCAGAAACACTCATTCCAGGGGCCTTACTTTGTGTATGGGTTAAACCTCACCAGCATCTGCACTTGCCGGTTTCTGCTGTTGGTTCTAGTTTCTTTTCAGAAGACCATGCAGTATGGTTTTCTCGGCCTAAATCCAATTTTGGTAGACTTGAGTTGAATATAAATCAGGGTCTACAAAACTATAACCAAGTAACTGGTATAAATGAGAAGAAGTCTGTGGAGTGTGACAGTTTCCCCATTTTGATAAGCAGCACTCGGGCTGTCGGGACGCGGGGACAGACTTTTCCCCTGGTACTGGGTTTCATGGCTCCCTGCATGGAGGCTGCTAGGGTGGTGAGGCCTAGACTAGTCGGGCGCTTGCTCTGTCGGGCCACTTCCTTGATCCTGGAGCTAAGCGTCTGAGTTTTACGCTTTCATTTGATGTTCTGATGCTAAAATTAGTTTTAGCCTAGACTTGGGAACTACGGTGTTCAGATTGATGGAGAATAGTTATAGAACAGAAATTCTGAAATCTGGAAATTTGGAAGTAAAAGACTTTTGCCCAAGGCTGCTTCTACCAGGATCTACTCCGAGATAGTTTAGCTCCTGTTTGGGCAGGGCTGGTACTTGCGAGAGGAGCAGGATGGCTTATCAGGAGACCACCCTCTGCTTCCACGAGCAAGGAGAGTTTGAGTGTGCCCTGGACTCGGGCGCCTGGACCGATCTTCCAGCCTTTGGTGCTGAACCAAAGGAGTTTGGAATTTGGTGTGTCTGGCGACAGCTGAAGACGGCTTTCTTCCGTCTTGTTTCCTGCAGACAAGGAATCTTCCCTGCCTCTGCCTGACGTGTAGGTCGAGGGCCTTTATGAGACCTTGAGTAGGGGACCCTCCTTCCTCTTGTTGCTGCCTTTATCTATCTATGCTTGCCTTTACTTTTATTTTAAGACTTTGTTATGGAAGATTTGAGATATGTATAATAGTTAGGGTGATATGTCAGACCTCTCAGGTTCCACCACCACCACCAGACACCTATCCATTGGTTAAGAGCTCCTTCCCAGGGGCTGGAGCGATAGAACAGGGTAGGGTGCTTGCCTTACATGGGGCTGACCCAGGTTGGATCCCTGGCACCACAGAATGGACCCCGGGGCCTGCCAGGAGTGATCCTTGAGTACAGAACCAGGAGAAGGCCTGGGTACACCACAGGGTCTGATCCCAAAATCAAAACCATCCCCATCCTCCCGAATGGGAAAAAAAAAAACCCATTTTTTGAGGTTGTAGTGATAGATTATTCAGTGAGTAGAGTGCTTGCCTTGCATGTGGCCGACCTGGGTTTGGTCCCAAGCAGCCCATATGGCCCCTGAGCACTGCTTGGAGAGATCCCTGAGTGTGGAGCTAAGAGTAATCCTTGAGCACCTCCGGGTCTGGCTGCTATCCAACAAAATGAAGAATGCCTTCTCAGCAGCAGGCCGGGCATTGTTTCATCAAGGCCGGTGGCTCCTGACATCAATTTCAAGGCAAATCCTGGACGTTCTGTTATTTCACCATCAGTATTTCTACAGTGTGCTTTAAACCAGTGGAAATGGTTTGGATCTGGGGTGGAGGGTGGATCTGAAACTACTGACTCGCAGAGTGAATAGGAGGTGCCTCCCTTTGGCAGAGTCTGCAAGTCTCGTTTCCGAGTCATCACATGTATTGGAGTGGGGAATATGGCCGAAGCCTGGCTCCCTGGGGCTGATGTCTGGGAAGTTGCTTTGTGTGAATGTAGTCCTGACTGAACTCTGAGAAAAAAACTTTTGAGTCCAAGTGAGGCCTTTCTTAGGAAATCAGCTGGCTTTGTCGGTGGTGGGAGTGCAGTTCTGGTTCGGTCTGACTAACGTGGCCTCTCTGTTTCAGATGGGAATGACTGGTAACACGAGTCCCTTTGGACAACCCTTCAGTCAGACTGGAGGGCAGCAGATGGGAGCCCCTGGAGTGAACCCTCAGTTATCCAACAAGCAGAACATGGTCAATAGCTTGCCTCCCTTCCCTGCGGACATCAAGAATGCTTCAGTCACCAACGTGCCAAACATGGTAAGGTGCCCTGGGCTCTCAGGCCGTGTGTGTGTGTGTGCGGTGCGTATGGCTGTGGGCCCTTGGGAGTATCCCAGCTTGATTCTTGATTCTGCTCAGTTTGGCAGTGGGCAAACAGGGTGATGCCTCACTGCTCCTTTTGTGGGTTGAATTTGTACAAGTCACCTTCCTTTCCCTCAGAGGCACCCACTTGACTCAGCTTTAGTGCCACAAGAACCAGAGAGAGGGGGTTTTCGTCACACCATCCTACTTGTTCCATGTTGGAGTTTGAGTGAAACCAAAAAGGATGTGTTTTGGTCTAGTGAAAGATTTTTATCTGCCAAGTAAGGACTGGAGTGTCTGATATGAAAGATGGTTTCACATTTTTTCTTTCTTCCTGAGAACCAACTCCCCCCTGCCCCCCCAAAAAAGGGAATATTGGCTCTTGGGTTGTTTTGTTTTGTTTTTGCTTATTTGTTTTGGGCTCATAGCTGGTGATGCTCAGGGTTTACTCCTGGCTCTGCACTCAGGAATCACCGCTGGAGGTGCTCAGGGGACCATATGGGATGCTGGGGATTGAACTCCGGTTGGCCGTGTGCAAGGCCAACTAGCTGTCCTAGCTCTCCAGCTACTGCCCCAGTAATCTTTTAGCCTGATTCTCTTTGGGTGGGTATAGGGACTGACTAAACTTGGCGGTGCTCAGGAGCTCTGCGCTCAGGGATCACTCCTGGTGGTGCTGGGGCCGGATGAGTGTGGGCGGGAAGCATACGTTATGCCAGGGATCAGACCAAGGCTGATCTTGGTAGATCATAACTCGAGTACTAGCTCTCTAGCTCCTCTAGCCTCATTGACAGGCTGGTCATGGGAAAAGCAGCTCTAAGGGTGTGGGTGCCCGTGTCAGACCTTGCTGGCACACGGTCACTGCATCTCAGTTGCCTTGGTGGCTGGCAAGGCCAGCAGCTGCCGCCTCTTCCGTGGGCTTGTTGCCAGAGATGCGCCCGCCGGCCTGCCAGGCACATAGTTGGGCATTAGCGATTTGGGAAGGCTCAAAGGAGAGCCAGGAGGATGTTCAGAAAATGGTTTATTTTGGTCAAACTTAAAGTTTTGCAATGGGTGTTGTAAAGCTGCCAGAGACTCCGGCCCCCTGGGCACTGGCCTTCTGTGGGAGTAGCAGTATGGCTCTGGCGTTAGTCAGAGGACACTCTCTGCTTCCCTCCGATTCCTGAGGGCAGGAGCATCCGGGACCGCAAGTACTTGGGATTGTTCTTTCACTAGTTCGTTTCTTCTCACCAGGACTTTGTAGTTCCCTGCATCTGTGGTTGCCATGGTTGCCCTGTTTGGGGCTGAGTCTGGAAGCTGAAACAGCTGCCGGCACTGATTGGGGATGCGGAGTGCCCTGCGGAGTGCCCTGCGGGGCCTCGAGTGCCCCCCCACCCCCGCGCTCCTTTCCTTTGCCGGGAGAACAGACCTGGAGCCGTTTGACCTCTGAGGAGAGTCTGTCTGCTGTGGCTGAGGAGCACTGCCCTAGCATTTTCTTCCATTTTTCTTGTCTGATGGGGGGGGGGGGCTGCATGTCGGGGGGCCGACTCTAATTGTGTTGGGGGGCTGTCTGCTCTTGCACCTATGCTGAGCAGGAGGAACCCCTCTGGATCATTCCGTTGAGGGGGACTTGTCATCGACACTGATTTCCGCAAGGTGCTCACATGCCTGCTCCCTTCGTGTCTCCCCTCCCGCTCTGGGCTGACCGTCGGCTACACTGAGGGCTACGCGGTGCCCGTGCGGGTGGACTCGCAGACTGTGGGCATGGAGAGCGGGACAGTGCACTCTTTACCCGGTGTTGTTCTAGGATCCTCACTTCCTACATTTGTAGATGTAAAATTTGGCCTCTGGAGTACGGCAGGGAGGATGCTTGCCTTCCATGAAGCTCCCCCGAGTTTGACCCGAGCACCGCGTGGTCTCCTGAGCTCTGCCAGGAGTGATCCTTGAGTGCAAAGCCACGAGCAGCCCTTGAGCACCAACTAGTTGTCCCCCACCAAAGGAAAAATATCTTGCTTGGCTGTTCTTTTTGTAATTCCTAGATTTGTGTGGAGTTTCGAGGTGTGTTGGAAGCGTCCCATGTGGTCCTGTGTTTGGTGTTGTCTGGGGTGCTGCTCTGTGCAGCTTAGCTGGAACAAGCGTGCCTGGAGCTCAGGAAAGGCGGCTGTGTGCTGCTTCGCTGGTCCCAGACGGAGCCAGTGAGAGGAGCCGAGCGCTTCCTGTTCCTGAGCTGTAGCTGGCCGGCTCCATGTGAGGAGTGAAGAGTGATTCGTTTCACTGATCAGGGACGAGGCATTGGTCCGGGTGGGTGTGGCTGGGTCAGGTGGGTTGTCGCTGAGCTAGATGGCCCAGGATTCTTTATACAGGAGCATCGTTTATAAGTGGCACAGCTGGGGTCTCCACTCTGAGGAAGAAGGAGGCCGAAAGGGCCTCAGGTTCTCTGTGGGCCCCCATGGGCTCCCGGGCGTGGCTTCCTGCAAGCGAGCTTTCTGAGGTACTGTTCGTAGGTGCAGGATTTTGTTATTGCTGCTACTGCTTGTGCGGTTTGTTTTTGGAGAAAAATTGAGAACTGCATTCTGGAGAGACTATGTTCTGACCACTCTCCAGGTGGGATGCAGGCATCTCCTAGAAGGGGGTGCTGGTTTTAAATGGACAGAGAGCTGCATTCAGCTTCCTTTCCTCCTCCTGTCCCAGAGTTTTGGGGATAGACTTTGGAGGAGGCGGAGAGTCGTCCTGTGTCCTCCCAGAGATAGGGACAGGCTGGTGGCGGCAGGGAAGTGATTCTGGACAAGCTGCCTCAGATAACAGGTTCCAGGGCCCCTCCCAGCCCCAGGCTTCAGGGTCTCTTGGAGGAACGGGGAGGGGTCCGTGGTTTACTTTGTTGGATCTCGCCTCATGCTTGGGGATGGAATGAGGCTCACAGCACAGTGCCGGCGCCTTAAAGCCCGTGCACAGCTGGGCGCAGTGGGTCGCTGTGGTCGCTGTTATTCATGAAACCTTAGGTGCTTCTCTTTCTCAGTTTCCCAGTGCCTACGGCCTAGCTCCCTATGAGGTTTTAGTTCCCACCGAAATCTGTCATTTAAACGAGCTCTCTGGTGATTCTGGGGGAGAATCCCCAGAGCTTGTTTGAAAATTTTCGAGGTCATCTTTTCTCTGCAGTGCGGGTCCCCGTTGTTTGTCTTTTCCTCTCCCATTGGGCTGACAGAGCTCCCCAAGCCGAGGTCCTCCGGCGCGGCCAGGAGCTGGCCTCCACGGCAGTGCTGATGAGCGCTCTGTGCCGTCGGGCTCGGGAAACGTGTTCGTGTGTGTTCGGTCTCTCAGACTTACCTAATTGTTTCCCCCATTTCTTGACGCTTTCTTGAGGAAATGTCTATTGTGGGCCACGGAAGAGAAAATTCCACCAGACAGTTTTTAGTCAGGGATCGGAGCAGTAGTGCAGCGGGTGGGACGCTTGTCTTCTGCGCGGCCGACTCAGGTTTGATCCCGGGCACCACATGTGGTTCCCTGAGCAGTGCCAGGGCTGGTCAACAACAACCACACATTTCTATCAGGAGCCATGTGACTTTTTTTCTACTCCTCTTGCTCATTTTCTGGGTTTTTGTTTGTCTGTTGCAGTTAAGCTCAGCTAGAAAGCCATTGCTAGGATGAAGTGGACTATGTCGCACATACCAGAAAACTAGTAGGGAAAGAATGAAAGCCCTTGGGTAGATCCAGCTCTGGGGGTTGCAGAAACTGAGTTCAGGCAGTGTGCTGGCGTCTGGGGAGGTGAGCCCTGCTGTCATTGGGGACATTCATTTTCTTGGGGGGGGTGGCTTTTTGGGTCATACCTGGTGATGCTCAAGGATTACTCCTGCCTCTGCTCTCACGGATTACTCCTGGTGGTGTTCAGGGGACCATATGGGATGCTGGGAATTGAACCTGGGTCAGGTGCGTGCAAGACAGACACCCTCCCCACTGTGCTATCGCTCAGCCCCAGGGATATCCTTTTCCTGCAGACCTTCCTTCCTAGAAGAAAGGTTCTTGGTGTCCAGGCCGCATACCTGGATTTGGGCCTGCTTGCTCTCTGCTAGCACTGGTCATCTGGCAGGCTGGACTCGCTCATAGTCCTGGTGACTGCACCTTCTTTTATCTTTTCTACAGTCGCCAGAAATAGCCCTAAAGGTTCAAATCACCCAAACCCAATTTGTCATATAGTTAAGTTACCTGCTTATCAAAAACTAATTTTCTTGAAGAAAACTTGCGTATTCAAGAAGATGGGTACTTTGGCAGTTTGCAGTCCACTGCTAATTCCTGCGAACAGCCCGGTCAGTGTGCAAGCCTGATCTCAGTGAGCCCCATTGATCTGGGGCTGGCCTGTCCCTTGACCGGCCTGATGGCTCTGGCCCTCCAGCCTGTTAGCGCCTCCCTGTGCACTGGCAGGAATGGCCTGGGGACCACCTTTGTCCTCAGGTTCGCCGCTGTCTTCTTTCCTGCTTCAGCCGTTCCCTTTCGCTGTGAAACTAGAGTGGGTCTGATCTGGAGTCTTGGATGCCATTCTGGTTTAGCTGCTCATATCAAGTTATTTTTGTTAGATTTAAATATTAAGTTGTAAAGCAATTCTATTTAAAAAAATTAAATGCAAGAAGTCCTCCATTTGTCTAAACAGCTGTGTTTTTTCTTCTGGTTGATCTTGATCACCTCAAAGGTGATTCTCGCTCTTCCCAGTTCGATAGCTGTGTGTGTTTAATGAGCATTTTCTTTATTTTATGACTCCAAAGCTTTGCGCACCCAGCTGTTCTGAGGTCCTTCTGGGGGAATCGGAACAAGCAGATGATCGCAAAGCCGTCCCACTTCCCACCTGGTACCCTATTTGGTGTCATTCTCTGACTTTAAGTGGTGGTTGGGGAGAGAAGAAATATCTTCAGGTGGGGTGGTGAGTCTGTCGAAGGGTCACCGGCGGGTCTGCACATTGTCGTGCTGGGAAGTGTAGCCGTCTTGGGGGAAAGGGTTGTGATAGGGTCCGACGCAGCTTGGGGTGCAGTGAGGATCAATGCGTGTGCCCACAGAGCCCGTGGCTGCTCTTGCTGCTGGGTCAGTGGGGCTGGACGTGTCCTGCCACCACACTGACCACCTCTTCTGTATTTGTGAATTGTATGTGAATCCCATGTTCTTAACAGTGCACATTAGAGACATTGTGAGGCTTTGGTGATACCGTCCCAGGACCTTCTCCAGATCTCCGGGGTTATTAACCCGTGCTTCCACGGCGGTAGGCGGTGGTAGTGATATTTTGTTCATGTTTCTTTGATTACTGGAAAGTGTTTGTGTTTGACGACTTTAAATTTGTTAATGAGTTACTTAATTTTTGCGCTCCAGGTTCCTTGTTAGGTTCTTGAATAAGACTTTGTATGTGTATTTTTTGACTCTCCCCAGGAGTACTCAGAGCATCGAGGGGCTGTTCCCAGAGGTCCTCCACCCTGAACCGGGATGGTCGTGTGCCCTCCGTCTCCCTAGCCCTTGTTCTGAACAGGTGATAGGGCAGGTGAAGCTGAACAGTCGGGGTGCGGGGACCTGCACACCATCTCCCAGTCTCTGGAACCCTCTCTGGTCCTGCATGAGCCCCTGCCCAAGACTGGATGTGCAGAGACTGGCGGGGCCTGGACACGAGCATGATGCCTGGGCCTGGGAAGTAGAGATTGGCCAAGAGGAGCAGAAGAAATAATAACTATAGGGTGATTTTCTTTGTCTTGTGTGTCTCAGGTATTTTTTCCAAGTTTGTTGATTGCTTTGTTGTTTGGTCTTGGAGCGATTGTAAGGAAGGGGCACTCTCCACTGGTGCTTGGGATGCCACGAGGTGCCAGGTATTGAACTGGGGGGCGTTGTGCATGCTAGGTAAATGCTCAGCGTGTAAGGGGTGACACTTTCTGGAAAGGCGCCTCATCCAAATATGAGTCCTGTACTTGTGCAGTTTATCGACGGGAGAGATCATAGAGCAGGTAGAGTGCTTGCCTCGCACACGGCCAAGCCGTTGGTTTGATCCCAGGCACCACACACAGTCCCCTGAGCCCCACCAGCAGTAAGCCCTGAGCATTGCTGGACGTGGCCCAAACACTAAACAGAAAAAGTTCATGAATCAGTAATGCTTATAGTTACTGTACAGCCTTCGGAGCCGGTTTTAGTGCATTTCCATCTGAACTGCACCGTCACAGTGCTCCTTACTTTCCCTGGTTTCTCAGCCCCATATGAGCACCAATCAACTTTCTACAGCCCTGTGGGTATTCCTTTTCGGGACATTTCATGGAAAAAGATCTCACCTGGTGGTTCTTTGTGTCTTACTTCTTGCGGTGACTGCTGTGATCGGTGCAAGTGGGAGCTAGACAGTTGGTGGAGTCTGATGGAGACATCGTTTGACCTTGGTCAGTGCCCAGTTAGACAGATGGTGGCCCTGTGTGTGGAACCGCCTGACCCACCAGTCTGGTGACAAGTGTGCCATTACTTGCACAGGACCCAGGCCAGCCATTTTGCTGTTGACTCAACTTCCCCTTTACACACACACACACACACACACACACACACACATACACACACACACAGTGTGTAGAGCTCATGGAACCATGTTTTGTTAATGGCAGAGAATTCACCAAGGCTTGAATGTGCTATATAGTTGCCACAGTTCCAGTTTTGACACATCAAGGTGTTGCAAATGGTCCGAGTATAGTTTAAAAAAGACTGTTAAAACATTCCAAATGAAAAAACAACACAAGTATTCAGTAACTTCTGAAATATGTGTGTATCAATTCATTGTCGGGTTAGTACCTGCTTTTAATGACGTTTCTTTGGGGGTGGGAGGCCCCACACCCTGTGGTGCTCAGTGCTTGGTGCTGGTTCTGCACTCAGATAGTGCTAAGGCCACATACGTGGTGCTGGGGATCAAACTAGGGTTGGCTGCACACAGGCGAGTGCTTCTCTCCAGCTGCACGATGTGGTTTTCATAGTCACTCTTCTGTATTTTAGGACGTTTGCAGCAGGACAGCTGACTTGTGCCATCTACCAGTCAGTGTGAATTAGAGAAGAGGAAGCGGATGGTGGTGACCTTGAACACACCCACCAGATTGGGGCGGGGGGTGGGGGGGAGGCGGGCGCTAAAGGATTTCTTAGGGAACAACTTGAAAGACTCATGTGAACTTATCGAAACTCTCACGTATGAACTAGGTATCAAGAATTGCCAGTCCTGTAGTCTTATTCCTAGGTGTGGTAATGGTGTCCTTGCCTCTACTGCTTTGCGTGAAACTTTGGTAAATGCAAAAGAAAAAGTTTCAGCAAGGTCTCTTGGCATGGACTGATCAAGACTTGTAACTTTTTGTGGTACTGAATGTGATCAACGTAGAGAGAGAATCAAGTGGAAATCTGCCACGCGGGCAGGGGGAGGGGTGGGAGGAGGGTATACTGGGGTTCTTGGTGGTGGAAAATGTGCACTGGTGAAGGGATGGGTGTTTGATCATTGTATGACCGACCGAGACTTAAACGGGAAAGCTTTGTGGCTGTCCTCACGGTGACTCAATAAGTTAAAAAAAAAAAAAAGACTTGTAATTTTGGTATTTGCTTACTGAAGCCACTTCACCCCAACATTGCAAGGAAAAAGGTCTGTGTGCGGCTTTATGTTCAGCAGCGGGAGATTGGGTAAAGGCAGGCTCTGCCCACTCCCCACCGCCACCAAAAAATTGGAGAGCTTTGGTTCACTGCAAGTTTCACGGGGTTTCCCCTCAGAGTTGCAGTGATGCACTTTGGATTCTTTCCTGTTTATTGAGCTTTGGGTTTGGGCCACACCCAGCACTACTCCTGGCTCTGTATACAGGGACACCCGTGACGGTGCGTGGGGAGTCTCGGGGTGCTGGGGAGTAGCTAGCCCTGGGGTGGCCGCATGCCGGTCGGGTGCCCTGCCTTGTGTGTTGCACTACTGCCTTGGGTGTCCTTAACTTCAGAATCATCGGAAAGTGGTGCTTAGTGTGTGTTTTGTAAGGCAAGTAGGAATTTTCAGTGATTTGTTTGTTGGCTTGGGGGTATGTGGTGCCAGGGATTGGACTCGGGGCCTCCTCACAAATGCAAGACCGTGGTCCAGCTGTCCCTGAGTCCTGTGGGATCTAGCTGAGAAGGTGAGCATGTCATCGTTCACGATGAAAGCCTCTGGATTTATTATGCATATTAGAACATGACCTGCCTCCCTCCCTCCCTTCCTCCCTCCCTCCTGGCTCTGAGCTTAGAAATTATTCCTGTAGTGCCCGGAGGGACCATCGGGGATGCCAGGAAGCGAACAGGTTGGCCACGTGCAAGGCAAACACCCTCCCCTCCCCACTGTACTAGCTCTGGCCCTGTTTCTTCCATTTTGTGAACTGCTTTAATGTGTCCGAAGGATATTGGTGGATTTTTTAAACAGACTCCACCTGTGACCTTTTCCATTTTCTTTGCAGTTCGGATAATTGGCCTGCCTTGTTTAGGAAAGATGTAAAAGCATCTAAACGTATTTCTGTATCTTTAACAGGTCATCATGTCCATTCGTCCGTCCTTCCTCCCTCCCGCCCTCCTTCCTTCTTAGGGGCCCTAGGGACCACCCCCAGTGTTCCAGTGGCCAGGCAGCAGTTCAGTGCCAGTCGCAAGGCTGCCATTTGGTATTGGGGTTTCAGTGGAAGTTGATGTGTGTGTGCATCCTAACTCCTGTACTATTTGCACAGCCCGGTCTAGTTCTTTTTTTCTTGGGGGGGGGGGGGGATGTCAGATGTGTGTATGGATATTTTAATGGAAGGCAAAGCATTTCACCAACAGTAAGAGATGTATGTACCACATGGTTATACCAGGCTGGTGTAGGGTCGCCCCTTCGGAGAGAGAACACTGCTGTGCCAGCACAAACCCAGGGCCATGGCAGGCGTTTGCGGTGACTTGTGTTCAGTCAGCCCTTGGCTGCTGTTTTGAGTCGTCGAACCATATGAAATGGCCAGTTTGGGAACTACAAGAACAAGAGTTTCGCATGTCCCAAACACAGGATTCACCCCCTTCCTGCATGCAGCTCTCTGAGTCGGAAGATGAGTTGAGCTTGAGTACTGCATTCATGAATAAGTGTCACCAGGTCCTGTCATTCACCCAGCCAGTAATTGCCAGGAGAGGCCCCTGAGCCTCCTAAGAGAAGCCCCAGGTCCCCCCCACCCCCGACCCCCGAAAATAAAAAGTGTCTTGTTTTGCTCTGAGATAACCTGAACTGTGAACTGTTGCCAGCCTGGATTCTTTGCTTGCACTCTTCCTCAGAGGCACTGACGCGGTCAGATCACTACATCCTCTGCTCTGTGAGCCTGACATGCCCTCGCAGCTCTGACGGGGGTTTGAGAGACGATCATGAACATGCATTGGAACTCAAAAAGCTGATTAAAATGTTTCTATTAATTTGTTTTTAGTCTCAGCTGCAAACAGCAGTGGGAATTGTACCCACACAAGCAATTGCTACGGGCCCCACAGCAGATCCTGAGAAACGCAAACTGATACAGCAGCAGCTGGTCCTTCTGCTTCACGCGCATAAATGTCAGAGGCGAGAACAAGCGAACGGAGAGGTCCGAGCCTGCTCTCTCCCGCATTGCCGCACCATGAAGAATGTTCTGAATCACATGACACACTGTCAGGCTGGGAAAGCCTGTCAAGGTAAGTGCGGTTTGCTCCATCCTATTGACAGAGCTTAGGGTGAGATCTGCCCGTGGGATTCTTGGGCAGCTCTTATGTTAATGGGGTTCCTTTTCTCTGCGTGCCTGTGCCCACACACCAACCACTCAGTCATCCCCGGAACACTTACCTGCTGGGTGAGAGGTGCCAGTTTTGATAGCATTCTGAGTTCCTGCTGGGTAAGGCTAGACCCCTTGGCTCTTTTCCTCCTCCTTCCTGGGACAGAGAAGACGTTTGTCGCATCTTGAGCACATTCTTCACAAATGTCTAGGTCAGTTTTCTTTGGGGGCAGCACCCCTGCATATGCACCCTGCCCTATGCTGTGAGCATCTGTCTTGTCATGCTTTCATATGTATGGAACTCCAGGGCCCCACCACCTTGCTCCTCCTCCCCTTTGTCTTGAGGCGAATCAGGGTACCAGTGACTGTGTGACTGTCAGGGCCGGCCTGGGAAGCGTGCACACCATGTCATCCCCGCCGCCTCCTTCCCGCCCTCAGGTAGGGGTGGATAGGGCCCGCTCTGTGCCCCTTTCCCTTCTCTTACGGCAAACTCCTCTCTGCTCTCCTGAAGAAAGTTGCTTTCAACAACTTCACTTTCCTGTAATCTTTCTCTTCTTTCCATCTTCTCTTCCTGCTCCTACGCCTTGGAGAGAGTCTCCCCTGAACTCCTGTCTACCCTGTGATGTGTGTGAGCCCCCGGGTGGCCCTTCTTCTGGTGGAGAAGCATGGGAAGTCGTGTGAGACCGTTAGAAAGAACTGGCACTGCCTTGGTGTGGATGCCGAAGCCCAGCGAGCAGCTGGGCTCAGGCGCCCTCGCCAGGCCTCTCCCTAGTCCCAGGGCTCTTCAGAACCGCCTCTCGGTTCACTTTCGCTTCTTGCTCCAGAGAGCTTCAGTGATAGTGGTTTGATGGTTTCATCCTTAGACATAATGTAAAATTTCTGTTTTTAATAGTGACATTACAGAATTACTATTTTACCTCTCATTTGACTAATCAGGTCAAATAGTTTGTGTTTTGTGGGCTGAATCCTAATCACCATCATTCATAACATTGCTTTTATGGGAAGTTTTTGTTTGGAAATCTCAACAGTCTACTTACAAACATACAGGAAACCAGCCTGTTTGTAAGTTGAGGACTGCTTTTACTGTGTACGGTTGCACTTGTTACCATTTTCTTACGAATCTGGCATTATGATTTAGGTATACTTGAAAGTGTGACGATTTGGATAGAAAAATAACATTTCGTTGTTTTTCTGGTCATAGTTGCCCATTGTGCATCTTCACGACAAATCATCTCTCATTGGAAGAACTGCACACGACATGACTGTCCTGTTTGCCTCCCTTTGAAAAATGCCAGTGACAAGCGAAACCAACAAAGTAAGTGAGCATTGGGGGCAGGAGCTTGGAGACGAGAAAACAAGCCATTTCTCAGAGCCCAGAAGCGTAGGCAGACTGCAGGCAGAGGTCATGCTTCGGTCTAGCGTGACCAGGAGAGAGGATGGGTCCCGGCGGCAGTGCCCAGAGCCAGCCAGGCTCTCGTTGGGAGCTCTTGACAGATACCCCGCATCTGAGGATTGGGGCGGGGGCCTGAGGCAGGCCAGGTTGGGTGTCTCCCAGCCCCAGCGCCCTGGAACAGTCGGGCATGTGGGCCTGCCTCAGAGACCTCCCCCCAACACGTCAGGATAGTGAGGGGAGTACTCTTCCTGTCGTTGAGAGGTAAAACTGGCCTCTGGGCATGTCCTTCTGTTTGGACAGACAGGAAGCTCCCTCCCCCATGTCATGTCACTCCTCTTGACCCCCACGACTTCCAGGACAGCTTGGTCTTGCTCCTTGTCCATCACATTGGTGCCATCTTGCCCCTGCCCTTTCGACCCTCATTTTGCGGAGATCCATGTTAGTGACTTTCCCCATCCTTGGTTATCTTCCTCCAGACCTGCTGCCTGACAAGTGCCCAGAGCTTTTCTCTTGGGGAGCCCCACTCCCCCCCTCCCCACCCTCCAGAGCGCCCTGCAGAGTCCAGAGCGGGAGGCAGGGCCTGAGTCCTGTTGTCCTCCTGCCCCACTGGAGTCACACTACGTTTCCTCTGAGAGACCTTTCCTGCAAAATTTAAAGTTAGTGCACAAATTTCAAGGACATACTTCATAGAAGGCAAAGTTTTAGGAATCTATGACTGTGTAGAAACAGGTACTTAGGAGAATACAGCTTGTTAACATATGTGTTAGTTAATATATGTGATAGTTACGGTTTTTTGAGTTTTAGGATATATTTCAATAATAAGCTAAGTGTCAGCATAGTTGACGTGATACCATGTTAATTTCATGGGTGAAGAGTTAGAACATCTTTCTGAACTTTGAGTTTGGGAGATGTGCTTTCTGGAATATTTTCTTTTCGTTAGGTCTTGCTATGACCATTATGAACTACTGTGATTTCTTTTTAGGAAACACTTAATGTGGTTTTTGTTTTAAGGAAAGAAATGTGAGGGGTTTTTATTTGTGTTTTGGAGGGTGGGGGCGTTCTCTGTGTAACATCTTCCTAACTGCCGACAACTGTGCCGGCTGGTGCGGTGGTGCTCTCTGAAGTGGTAAACCGCGGTGTCGTGGCTTGTCGTGCAAGGTGCTAGCAGGTGGTTTCGTAACAGGTCGCAGGCAGCGTGCACGTTCACTGGCTGCAAGGCTTGGGTAGTTGTTCATAAAAGAAATGAAAGTACTTCAGATGTTCTTAATACTTCAAATGAAATTTCAGCTTTGAGCATATTCTTTTGAGTTCTAGCACTGTGGTTTCATGAGTGGAGAGGAGTTTGATGAGTGAAAAGGTCTTAGCAGTTTGTTCTTGTCAATGTTTGTTTCTCCTCTCCTGAGGAAAATCATGCTTGGTTATGGTTGAAAAATAGGATTAGGATTCGTGGAGAGAAACTGTGGATCTGGCCCTCCAGGTAAAGGAGATCTTGCCCTCTCTGTGAAAAATGAGGTGATGGTGCTGTTAGTTGAAGGAGCGGGTAGAGACAAGTCAGTTGTGTGGGCACCTTGAAAGGGGAAGGTTAGAGTGTGCTGAGACCAGTTTCAATAAAATTACAAGGAGTGAACTTCCTTTGACGTGGCCGTGCGTGCCTGGGTCTGACTCGACAGACGTTCCTGTGCAGGCAGGTGATTTCGGGGTGAGGGGGGCTGTCTGGGAGGTGCCCAGGGGCCATCTCACTCTTGCCTGCTATCTGGGGTGAGAGATCCTGATATTTGTTTGGTGTTTCCAGCTGAGTATTTGTGATTCTGGGATTATGGCTCCTGCGTTCGCCATCCATGGGTGGATGGATGGACAGACAGACGGACGGGTGGAGGGTAGATGTATGGATGAGCGAGTAGATGGATGGATGGCTGGTTGGACGGATGGGTGGGTAGGTGGATGGATGAGGCGCTCTTAAAGTGCGGGTCTGCTGTGACTCTTGACTGTGGCCACATTCCTGTGCACTTGGTAGGGAACATCGATGACTAAGTGACGGACAATGTGACCAGTGTCCCCCTTGAATTCATGTTGCCTCTTCTGTAAGGTTCTTGCCACTCAAAGTAGTTCCGCATCAGTTGCTTGGACTGCTAGCAGTGTAGACTGCTGGGTCCTTCTTAGACCTCGTATGCTGATGTGTGTACTTCGACAAACCCCAGGCCACTACTGGGAGGAAGTCCTAGGAAGAATGTGTGTTGAGGTGGGGCTCAGCCCCCAGGGCCCATCAAGCCCCCCACTGCCCAGCTGAGCTGCCTTTGTGCCATCGGCAGTGCCTCTCTCCGTCTCTTGCTTGGGCACTACCACTTGCGTGGCGTTTGACTTCTGGTGGCTGTTTGGTCTACCTTTAGGCCTCTCTGTTTAAGATGCTCTGCTTAGGTTGCGTCCGAACCATTCCTAAAGTCCCTGCTTGCATGTTGCAAGTCCTCAGACCCTTGGGTACCCAGGCGGGGTGGGACAGTGGAGCCAGAGGTCTCTGGGAATAGAGCTGCTGGTGCGTTTGTTCACCCTACAGAAGCCCCAGCTGAAGAGTCCTTGGTGTCAGTTCATCAGAAGTGCTGCCCCTCTCCTGGTGGCCTCGCATCTGGCATCTGGACAAACCCTCGATGGGCTCGAGCCTGTCACGTCACTGCCTGCACGCTCTGTGGAGTGGGAGTGGCTCAGGCAGAAGGGGCGGTGCCACTGGCCTGTCCGGAAGAATGGAGGTGGTGGCTGTGCTGTGGCTTAGCCTGGACTGTCGCTGCCTCGCCTGATCACAGTGTTACTCCCACAACAAAGTCTTGACATATTAAAAAAACTTAAGCTTTCTTTGGATTTCCAGGTTGAGCCATGGTTTTTTTTTTTTCATTTAATTTTGTTTTTGTGGTTTGGGGGCCACACCCAGCAGTGCTCAGGGTCTTTTTCCAGGTCTCTGCTCAAGTGACCTGGTGGTATCAGTGATTTGAGCTGGGATCAGTAAGAAACAAGGCAAGCACCTTAACCCCTGTTCTCTCTCCCCTGCCCCAATTTGAGTCCATTTCGGTGAGTGACAGAACAGAGATTTCCCCTAGTGGTATCCGTTCTCCGTGAACTGTTTGTCAGTACACTGGTACCCACTCACGAAGGGCAGACTTGCCCGAGAAAGAGCCCATGCCACAGCTTCCCCTTTGTTTTCTTGTGCGGGCTCTCCATGTCAGGAACCCGCGGCACTGACACCCCCCCGCACCCCCTCCCGTCTCTCTAGGAAGTGTGACAGTGGGAGCGGGCAGGGCACAGTGACTGCCAATGAAGAGATGGGACAACGCTCACAGAGCTTTATGGGCCCCCTTTCCTGATGTCACCCGCACAGTGCAGCCTCTTCTCCTGCCCCTGGTGCTTGACACCGTTGAATAGGATCTCTGGATTCCAAAGGTTTCACTGACTCGTCCATCCTTGACTTGGAATGGTTCTACTTACAGATTTTGACGTTACAATGGCGCGAAAGCCACGGTGCTCTTCCTTTTTGTCTCTTACCGTCCCTAGCTCTGACCCAGCGTCAGAGGGTCATCGGAGCCCCTGCTGGCCATTCCCAGCCATGCCCTTCCTGTTTCAACTCAGAGCGCGCTTGCTGACTTCCTTCAGTCCCTGGGGGAGTCAGCTCGCCAGAGAAATGCCCTGTGTTTGGGGATTTGCCCAGATCCCGCTGAGCACGATGCTGTTCAGCAGGGACAGTCGTGCGTTTCGAGACGCAAGTGTTCGACTTGGACCGTTTCCTTGGGTTCAGGGAGCTCTGTCATTTCTTTTCTCTGCCTCTGAATTGTAAAGAATGTTCAGTTCCAGATGCTTGCTCACCTTCTCATAGGTCTAATGTACACGTAGGAAATAAATGCTTTTAATAAAAAACCCAAAATGGAGCGAAGCTCTGGCTGCCAGGTAAGTGTTCTTGGGCTTGGGAGTGGCCTGGGCAGAGCCCTGGCAGGGACAGTTTTCAGTAGAGCACTGCTGTTGCTTCTCGGTCCAGAAGTTGAGTACCACATAGATAAGCTTGTTTCTTTCGGTTCCTCTCAGCACTTGATCACCATGCGTTCTTTCTAGAACCTCGGGTGATAAAGAATCATTGTGCCGTTACTGCTTTCCTTCTTGCAGGAACTGGGATGTTGATTTCTGTAGATGATGGCCACATAAAAAACCTTAAAAAATATTCTCTCTTCCCCCTTCCTCTTCTTTCTTTCTGTTTGCACTCTCTCTCTCTCTCTCGCCCACAGTTGGCAACGCTCAGGGCTACTCCAGCTATGTGCTGGGGTCATGGTCTTGGTCCATTGAATTTAAGTATCATTGGCTGAGGGCGGGATAGGGTTGGACCACACCCAACGATGCTCAGGGCTTACTCCTTCTGTGCTCCGAGGTCACTCTTGCTGATGTTTGTGGGGCGTATGCAGTGCTGGGGATCAAGCCAGGGTTTTCCACATGTGAGGTCTAAGCACCTTAATCCCTGTACTGTCTCTCTAGATCCCCCAAATAAGCCTTTCAGGGCATTGTACACAACTCTTTAGCTCTACACTTGTCACAAAATGCACCTTGGGAATTGCTTTTCATTTACAATAATGAGCTTCTTGGTGTGTGTTAATTGTGTCTAACAAGCATTAATGAGTTCGAAATCTGAATATCCTTATATGTTAGTATTATGGGATGTGTAATAGCCAAGATTTTTTTTTTTTTTTTTTGCTTTTTTTGGGTCACACCTGGCGATACACAGGGGTTACTCCTGGCTCTGCACTCAGGAGTTACTCCTGGCGGTGCTCAGGGGACCATATGGGATGCTGGGAATCGAACCCGGGTCGGCCGCGTGCAAGGCAAACGCCCTACCCGCTGTGCTCTCTCTCCAGCCCCTTGTTTTGTTCTTTGATTTATTGAAGTTATTTGGTAAGTTATCTGAGGTGTTTCTGTTATAGTTGGTTGCCCTGGTGGGAGAAGAAAATGGTCATTCATAATGGTTTGTATTTGAGGGGAAGGCTTTGTAATACTGCTTCATGTGTCAGACTATGTTAATATTATCAGTTTTATAAGCTGCTGCTTTATAACTTCTAAAGTTTGGAAAGAAAGAATTCTTAAGGATAGGAACAAATGCTATGATGAAAACCGCACAGTCTGCTCATCAGTGTGAACCTCTGGATGGATGAACAGTCAGATACATTGTACTTGGATCAAGATGATGCAAGTTCGGGGTCATTTCTGTTAACTTGAAGCCTGGGGTCTGGGATTCTTGGTTTGCCTCGGTTCTCTGGCTGGGCGCAGGAAGCTGGAGTGAGTCCCCTGGGAACTTCCAGGAATAAGGGTGCCTTGTGGGGATGTCTGGGTGAGGGGCGTCCGTCAAGTCTCCACTTCCTCCCTCTCTGCATTTGCAGTAGAGCAGCCGCTCAGAGGAGTTTCTCCAACAACTTTCTACGGCTCGGATGCCCGGCAGAGGGCACTCCTGTGTAGGGACCCCATGGGGGGAACGGTGTGGCGTGCCACCGTGAAAGGAAACGTCTGGGATTGTGGCTCAGGAGCAGAATCGATGAGCTGCGTGTCCCCTCTGGACACAGAGTAGGCCTTTGTCTGTGTCAGCAGGGGCAAGGAGGCTCTGAGGTGACGGCTGGCAGTCCCCAGTGTGGCAGAGCACTGCCACTCCCCTAGACTAGACTTCTCAGGGGACAGACACTGGGCTTTTTATTTCTACCCCACTCCCTTTTTCCAAACCCCTCTGAACTTTAAAACAATCATCTTTACTAACTCAGCTCTGACTTTGTGGTCGGTTGCTTTCAAAGGTAAAAGCTCGATTTTGGCAGGGGCAATAGGACAGCCGGGAGGGTGCTTGCCTTGCACATGGCCGACCTGGATTTGATCCCCATCACCCCACTGGTCCCCCAAGCCTGCCAGGAGTGACCCCTGAGCATAGATCCAGAGTAAGCTCTGAGCACCGCTAGGTGTGTAACCCAAATCCCCCACTCCCTCCCACAAAAAGAACTTGACTTTGTTTCCAGTTTTGGCTTTGCACACACTGCGTTGCAGGATAGATGAATGCATAAGCCCCTTCGGGGTGTGACTCCGTGCTTGTGGCCTGGTTCTAATGCTTCCTGACTTAAACACATCGTCTTGATAACATTTTGTTTTCGGTCTTCGAGTCATTCATTAGCAGACTACTTCCCTTTACTTCCCTTTTTTGTTTGTTTCTCGTTGTAGCCATCCTGGGGTCTCCGGCAAGTGGGATTCAGAACACGATTGGTTCTGTCGGCACAGGCCAGCAGAATGCCACTGCGTTAAGTAACCCGAATCCCATAGACCCCAGCTCCATGCAGCGAGCATATGCTGCCCTCGGACTGCCCTACCTGAACCAGCCCCAGACGCAGCTGCAGCCTCAGGTTCCTGGCCAGCAACCAGCACAGCCTCCAACTCACCAGCAGATGCGGACACTCAACCCTCTGGGTAAGGAACTCTCAAGAACTTCATCTTTGTCCAAATGCAGCAGTGGGAATTGCAAGTCTTCCTGGAACCCAGGACTCTGTTCAGTCGTGATTTTTACTTTTCAAATTTTTACTTTTCAAATTAAAGTTCAAATTAATAGGAATATATTTTATGGTGTTAATATCTTATAAATGCTAAACTAAAGAACTTGCCAGGGAAAGGTTGAAGTATTTGATGCCAGGGGTCTGACACAGACTGGTAGAGAGCCTTTGCAAACAAACCGATTTTTCATTGCCAGCTGCAGTTTTCTTATCTCAGAGCACAGCCTCTCGGGTCAGAGTGATATTTGCAGGCTGAGCTGACAGAGGACTGAGCTTGTAGGTGGCCTCTTCCTTCCTGGCGTGCCCTAAGTGCCATCTCAGCCCCTCTGGGGCAGTGTGGGCTCAGCTCGTCCCACGTGTGCCTGATTCTCTCCCTGTTCTTTACATTGGTGTGGTCCACTTAAAATTAGGCGCAAGCTGGCATGGAGCTTAGTGCATGGTGACACACGTCCCCCATCACCCAGCACCACAGGGAGTGACCCTGGTAGCCTCATGAGTCTGTCAGGAAGCCCTCCCCCACCACCCCCAAAAACAAAAGGAAAGATGAGGTAACAGTCTGATGTTGAATTCCGTCTAGGTAGTCGTGTTGCTTTTGTTTGTTTATGTTAGAATGAGTGTCTTGTTGAGCCTTCAGAATAGCTCTCAGAGGACTCACTACGTGCTCTGCCGTATGGGACGCCTGGGTGCGACCCCCGTACCTCATAGCCCTGGGCAAGCACCAAGCTGCACTGCCAGCTGTTACCCCCAAACAAACGATTCTTATGGCTTGTCACTTTGGGGAAAACAGCCATCCTGACAATGACCTAACTTCAGTGCTCCAGAACCTCTGGGGTAGAGTTTCTGAGACCCAAATCTGATCTCATGCCACTTTTCTTGATAAAATTTGGAATAAGTCTGTTAACCAGAGTCACAATATTTTCTTTTAAAATCGGAGACTAAGAGGACTTGTAATGTTTTGCCTATGGTTTGATTTTTTTGATATGCGAGGGGGGAAAATAAAGAATCGTTACCTGTGACCAGTCAGTTTGGTGACTCGAGGACATGAAAGCGCGGATGGGCATGTCTTCAAAGTTTTCCACCGCTCCAGCGGTAAGGCATGTGTAGAGTACCACCAGGTCGCCCTTATCGGCTGCGAAATGCGGGAGGAGAATAGCTGAATTTATACAGTTTCGTTACCATTTTGAAAGCGTAACTTCCAGAATTCTTGCCTTGTCCATTGATAAAAGATGTAAGAATCGCTTTTCATATGGTAGCTTGTTTCTCTCTCACCAGCACTGCAGTGAGTATTCTTTAGGGTTGATCTCTGTCTTCCCTCTTTCTCTGAAGGAAATAACCCAATGAACATTCCAGCAGGAGGAATAACCACAGATCAGCAGCCACCAAACCTGATTTCTGAATCAGCACTTCCAGCTTCTCTTGGCGCCACAAAGTAAGACCCCGGTTTCAGTCTGCACCGGTCGTGGTGTGTGCAGAGGTGGCGGGCGGGGAAGCGCACGCACCTCTGCTTCTCCCTGAATGCCAGGCAGAGGGAAGAGCTTCCACGGGCCGTGTGGGCACGTCATTTCCTCCCATGCACGCGTCGCGCCTGATGTCACGTGCATGTCACGTGCCTTTCCCGGTGGCAGTGAGTGGGAGCAGATAGCGGGCGAGCGGGCTGAGCTGTCCTTGTTCTTCCCTAGCCCGCTGATGAATGACGGCTCCAACTCGGGCAGCATCGGGACCCTCAGCACCATCCCCACAGCGGCACCTCCTTCCAGCACCGGCGTCCGGAAGAGTTGGCACGAACATGTCACTCAGGACCTGCGTAGCCATCTAGTGCATAAGCTGTATGTGTCCACCCCCACCCCCCTCCGGTTGACAGTCTGGTGGTGGTGAGGGGACGAATGTCTGGTTTCATTCTGGAGTGATCCCTGCAGGCCCCAGAAGACTATGTTCCCAGGCTGCGTCTTTCTCCAGGCAGGGGCGTCGAGCATATTTGGCTCTGCCCTGCAGAGAGACATAAAATGAGACTGTGCAGTAGAGGATAAGGCCCAAGGCCTTATTTAGTTCCATTTTGGCTTTAGGGCCACATCTGGCTGTGCTAAGGGCTTACTGCTGGCTGTGCGTGCAGGGATCACTCCCGGCTTGGCCTCATGTGCAGTGCCAGGGGTTGAACCAGAGTCAGCTGCATGCAAGGCACGCACCCTCACACTCCTCCACACCTCCACCCCCGGGCCTTATATTGTAACTCAGAATTACTGGGGCACTCTCTGAGCATTGTAGGAAACATAGGTGATGTGGCAGTTAACATATCAAAGTTAAAGCTGTTTGGGGGGTCATACCTGCTGGTACTCAGGCTCTGTTCCTGGTTTGATGCTCAGGGAACCACATGTTGTGCTGGGGGTTTGAAGGGTTTGGTGGGATGGGCAAGCCTTTAATTGCTGTACCATCTCTGTGGTCCCAGCAATTAAATGCTGGGGGGGTGAGCTGGGGTGGGCATGTGATACCCACAACCTTGTACATGTACATCTTCGACTGAGCCAGATGCTGGCCCCTACAGTCTTTCTTTCTTTCTTTCTTTCTTTCTTTCTTTCTTTCTTTCTTCGTTTTTTATTTTTTCTTTAAAATAATAAAATACAAAACCCCTACTTTTTTTTTTAACGTATGAGTATTGCTATCTATGGTTTATTTTCTTGAACTAATGCAATTAAAAATAAAGTTGATTGGGGCTGGAGCGATAGCACAGCGGGTAGGGTGTTTGCCTTGCATGCAGCCAACCCGGGTTCAATTGCCAGCATCCCATGTGGTTCCCCAAGCACCGCCAGGAGTAATGCCTGAGTGCAGAGCCAGGAGTAACCTCTGTGCATCGCCAGGTGTGACCCAAAAAGCAAAAAGCAAAAAAAAAGATACGGTTGATCAATTCAGCCCCCCCCCCATTATTTCAATAAAAAATTTTAGTAATAGTTATAGAATTCGAAAATTGAGTCGTACTTTGCTCCCCCCTTTGCACCAGTACTGCTTAGCTGGCAGGGCACACTGGATATATGCTCCACCACTTGAGCTGTCTTCTTAGCCCCTGAAATTATAGTTCTCTTGCTGCTTTTTGTTTTTGTTTTTGGAAACCACATTTGGAGGTACTCTGGGCTGCTCCTGGCTCTGTGCTCCGGAATCATGCCTAGCTGTCTGTGGGGACCGTGAGAGCTAGGCATCAAGCACAGGCCGACCCTATGCAAAGCATTTCTTGCATGTTCTCAGCCCGTTGAGATAGATCCTGAAATCGTGTTCTTGAAATAACCTGGTGCTTGTGTGCAGCAAGAAAGACTGGTGTGTTTGAACGGTAGATGAATTGGTGTATCTGTACTATGACCAGACGCAGCTTCATTGCATTTTCACATACTTAGAAGAAGAGACTCCGGCCGTACCAGGACAGATAATCCCTGTTGCGATGAGATCCTGCTGGAAGTTAACAGAGTGTTTTCCTTTTCAGAGTCCAAGCCATCTTCCCGACCCCTGATCCTGCAGCCCTGAAGGATCGCCGCATGGAGAACCTGGTAGCTTATGCCAAGAAAGTGGAGGGGGACATGTACGAGTCGGCCAATAGCAGGGTAGGTTTCCGTGTGGCCGTGTCTGTCTCCTTCCTCGCTGGACACGGCGAGTCTGCTGCGGGGCTCAGGATCTGGGCCCTCTGCTCCTAGGCCCTCTGCAAGTGTCACAGCAAAACTGTAACGAGGCAGACAGAGTGGCCTCTTGCCCCGGCTGCATGTTGATACTCTCTTCTCTGTGGCCACTTTGAAGTGACCGCTGTGGTACTGCCCCCATCAGTGATATCCAGACCAGGTTCAGACCTGAATGAAATGTCCCAAACACTTAGTCCGTGCTGTCTGAGAAGTCCTATGACAGCACTGGAAAGTCGAGAACGTTGGTTTATCAGTACATTGAATACTTTCTTTGCCAAAGCACTTGGTTTTTAAAAATCTTAAATTCTTTTAGTACATATAAAACATCTCGTGGTTGTTAATATTGAATGTTGTTGCTTTTTAGGATGAGTACTATCACTTACTAGCAGAAAAAATCTACAAGATACAGAAAGAGCTTGAAGAAAAACGGCGGTCACGTTTACACAAACAAGGCATTTTGGGTAGCCAGCCAGCCTTACCAGCCCCGGGGGCTCAGCCTCCCGGGATCCCGCAGCCGCAGCCTGTGAGAGCGCCAAGTAAGCCCTGGGTTTCTGCTCCCTGCTCTTTTTTTTGTTTTTGTTTTTGTTTTTGTTTTTTGGGTCACACCCAGCAATGCTCAGGGGTCACTCCTGGCTCTGCGCTCAGGAATTACTCCTGATGGTGCTCGGGGGACCATATGGGATGCCGGAGATCTAAGCCGGGTCAGCCGCATGCAAGGCAAATGCCCTACCCACTGTGCTATCGCTCCAGCCCCCATCTGCTCCCTGCTCTTAAGTCTTTCACTTGTTGCCTTCTGGCCGTGCTGGCTGCGGGGGCACTGTGGAGGGCACGCTGGTCAGCGCCATACTCTTCCCCTGGAGTATGCAGTTCTCAGAATGTAACCCCTTGTTCCTCAATCAGGGACAGTGTGAAATAACTAATTTTTTCCTGCTGTTTAGATGGGCCCATGCAGCTGCCGGTGAATCGCATGCAGGTTTCTCAAGGTATTTATCATCATAAATTTGTTTTAGTTTGACAGCAGCAGCAACCAAGTTTCGTTTTTCTTTTTTCTCTTCCCTTTTGTATTTCTTTGTAGCCCCTTCTCTCGCTCCTTTCTGCTCCTTTTTGCTGATGAGCAAAAGACGATTCCCCAAACCCAGAGAGTAGGCATTATATCTGGAAGTTGGTGGGTCACGGGAGCACTCCAGGACAGGTGGGAGCAGGAGCTCAGTGGCAGGGACTCTGGGTCCGAGTCCTGCACGATGATTCCTTGAGCGCTGTTGGGCATGGCTCCGAGCAGAAGAATAAACTCCAAGCAGATGAGAAGTAGAATTTAGAAAAGTTTTGCTGGCTTGGAATGGACTTTCCTCTTGGGAGACACTCCCTGGGCACCGCAGGTGGGACATGGTCCAGCGCATCAGCCGGCACGGACAGTGGGACGTGGAGACTGAGCCGGGTCAGGCTGCGCTCGGGGCAGTGCCAGAGTCATCTTTCTTCCTCAGGTCGAGATTTGTGAAGTTTGCTCGGTTCAGAGCACTGTTACTGCAGAACGAAGGATGCTGTGATGCTGTAGGACAGAGTAGGAGATAAGGTGGTGCTCTGAGAAAGAGGTGGGAGACTGAGTCCCGGGGGAAGGAGAGGCCGCTTGAAAAGTGGAGGGAATTCCACAGCGTACCGGAAGGGACCCGGTAACAGGAAGGGGAAACGTGAGGAACTTGTTTTGATGATTAGCGACGAGGGGTGGAGGAAAAGTAGTTCGGGAAGGGGATCAGGAGAACGTGTGAGTCCCCAGCACCACATGGTCCCGTTGGTGACAGGGATGGTGGGGCAGTGCTGGCAGCCTGGGCATGACTGGATACTGGCGGTGTCGTGGGGAGTGGCCCCAGCGCCCCCTCCAGAAAAAGTCAGGGAAACTGAGGAGGGTGACATGGGCGCTTCTGTGGATTTGGAATCTGAGGAGGGAGCCCCTGAGCAGAGCCCTGGAGAGGTGGAACAAAGCCCTGCCTCCGCTATTTCTACTTTTCTCTAATTTGTAAAAATTCTCCGTGAGAACAAAGTCCTAGCCTTCCTAGAAAGCCCTCCCAGGGCCCCTATTGAACCCGGGGCTGTTTCTTGTGGCATTTCTAGGTAGTCACTGACCATGGCACTGTGAGTCTCGGTGTTCTGAGCCCTTCACAAGGTCACATCCATGTGAGGCTGGGAGCGTCGGCGTCCTCTTGTGGGACATTGGGCCTGCCGTCCAGGGGCCCCCAGGAGTGTGAGCTGAGTCTGAAGAGACTGCTGGGGAACACACCTCTCTCCTCCCCCTCAGATTCTTCGCAAAATACTCAACTTCCCAGCAGAAATCAGGCCACATTTGAGTTGTGTTCTGTCTTCTAATGAGACACTCAAACCTGAGGGCCGGGGGCGATGAGAAGGTGCCCCTGGAGAGGCGGGTCCCGAGGGCACCTCTGCAGGCTGCTTCCTGCTCGCTCTCTCCTTCCCACTGTCCATCTTGACTGAATCTGCGTTCATTTGGCCAGTTGTAATTCTTTTTTCCTATGGGTGCTTTTCTTAATCATTGTGGGTATATTTACAGGGATGAATTCGTTTAACCCCATGTCCTTGGGGAATGTACAGCTGCCACAAGCGCCCATGGGACCACGCACCGCATCATCCCCCATGAACCACTCTGTCCAGATGAACAGCATGGGCTCTGTGCCTGGGGTGAGTGCCAGCGGAAACCCCCTCCTGGGTTGTTGAGGTGCGGGGTAAGCTCTGTTTCTTCCGCACCTCCCCCTTCTCTGCGACTACAGTGAGAAAGAATGATTTGATCGTCCTCTTAATTGAAATGACAGATTCCAAGGAACCTTCGAATGGGAGAGAAGATGGGTGTTCGGGCATGGAGTGGTCAGCCTGGGTGACAGGCTCGAGCTCCCACTTCTGAGGCCGCTTTCTAAGCACTTCGGAGAACTTAGAACAGGCACTGTTTGGACCTGAAATTATAGCACGCTACAACTGACTAACAGAGGCTGGTCTGAGCTCTGCCTCGACACCCGGAGCTGTAGCGACCCTGTGCTGTGTGACCTGTGCAGGTGCTGGGGCTGCTAGTTGACCTTGAAAACTCAGGCCCTCTCTAGCCTGCTCTCCCGATGCTTATGTCTTTTAGATGACCATTTCTCCTTCCCGGATGCCCCAGCCTCCGAACATGATGGGCACGCATGCCAATAATATGATGGCCCAGGCACCTACCCAGAACCAGTTTCTGCCACAGAACCAGTTTCCATCCTCCAGTGGGGCAGGGATGAGCGTGAACAGCACTGGCCTGGGGCAGCCAGCGGCCCAGACAGGCGTGTCTCAGGTACCTGTGATCTGCTCAGGGCAGCAGCCCGGCTCTCGTGTTCACCTCACTTCTTCTACCTTTGTCCTGTCACTTCTGCCTTGTTCAGAAATGCTTTTATGTTTTGGGTGAATGTCAGTAGAATGAACGAACTCTGGTTTGAGGTGGGGGGTTAATAAGTTTTTATTTTGATTAGGAGTTCCCCTCTCATGCCCTCTGTATTTTAATTTTGTTGTTTGGGAGCACACCCAGCATTCTCAGGTTACTCCTGGTACTGCAGTCAGGAATTACACCTGGTGGTGCTGGGATCCTGTATTGGATGTTGGAGATCGAACCTGGGTTGTCTGCGTGCAAGGCAAGCACCCCACCCGCTCTGGTCCAGAGACAGAAAGTGAGAGACAGAGAGGGAAGGAGAAAGAGGGAGAGAGAATGGGTGCGAGGATCTCCCAGATGGTCCTCAGGAGGCCCAGGCTTCCCTCCTCCCCCGTGATTCTCAGCCAGACTGGTTGGTGGTTGGAGCCTCCAGGGCTCCACCCAATAATGCCTGGGGACTGTGTAGTGCCAGGGACGGCAAGGCGCGTGCCCTGACCCCGGAGTAGTTTTCTGGCCCCGAGACACTAGACTTTTAAGAGGAGGTTAGGAAGGGCTCATGCATTGGTTGCCTGATGAGGTCAGACTAGTTGATTTTATGATTAGTTCTCTGCTGTTTTTGTTTTTAATTTTTATATATTCAGTCTGAAACTATTTTCTATTCTTTTTTTGTGTCTTCCTCCTTTCATTGTTCATCATAGTGCTTAAGATTGTGCATGTGTTTAATATATTTAACTATTTCTTAATATTCCTTAATACTTCATTGCTTTAGAACTTGAAAAAAATTATTTTTTGGTTTTTGGGCCACAGAGTCTAACTTTGTAATTCTACTTTTATAATATAAAAACAGCTGTGATGATTCATTCTGTATAAATGAAGGGGTATGACTGTGTGCTGATAAAACTTTATTTACAGAAACCGGCAACTAGAGTTTGTCCGGGTACTGTGCATATTCTTTCCCCATCACCTAGACGTGCGTGTGTGGGTTTTGTTTGTTTGTTTTTACTTCAGTGATAGTTCAGGACTGTGTCGCTAGTTGAGAACCGCTGTACTGCAGCATTTCAGTGTTTGGGACACGGGGGTGGTTTGGGTTTGGGCCGTACCTGGCGCATGGAGGCTAGTCTGAGGGCTCAATCTCGGACTTCCGCAGGCAGAACCTGTGCTTAGCTTTTCTAGTATGTCTCATGCCCAGTTACAGGTGCTCAGGGAGCGTGAGATGGTCCAATCCGGGTGTACTCAGTGCCCACCATCCGCGCCAGAACCACGTGGGTGCCTGGGATCAAGCCCAGCATGCACCACATCTGTTGGAGCTTGCTCCCTGACCCCAGTAATCATTCTTATTTTTTCAATAATAGAGAATTGTTTTCAATAATAACTTCCCACAGGTCGAAGCTGGGAGTGGATTGTTTTTTTGGGGGGGGGGCTGACACCTGGTGATGCTTGGGGTTACTCCAGGTCCTGCGCTCAGGGTGCCCAGGGGTTATGTGGGATGCCGGGGACCAGGGCGGCCGTGTAGATGGTAAGCGCCCTCCCCTCTGTACTCTCGCTCCAGCTCCAAGGGGGTGGGTGTTCTGAAGCACACAGCTCATGAGCTAGAGTACCTGTTGTTTAATTCAGGGCTTATCCTGTTGCCCACATCAAACTAAGAAACTCTGGGTTTGTAGGAAAGTGCCCCTTACCATGCATGCACAGCTCTGCGTGTTCAGTCGGAACCTTCCCACGGAGCCCACAGACCTCAGCAGCAGACTGACTCCATTTTCTCCAGTTAATTCTTCATGTTTGTTGGCTCGTTTTTCAAGGGTGGGAACTAATTTCGCCCAACTCTCTTCTTGTCTGTTAGGGGCAGGTGCCTGGTGCTGCTCTTCCCAATCCTCTGAACATGCTTGGGCCCCAGGCCAGCCAGCTCTCCTGCCCACCAGTGACACAGTCACCCTTGCACCAGACACCACCTCCTGCTTCCACAGCCGCAGGCATGCCGTCTCTCCAGCATCCGACAGCGCCTGGGATGACCCCTCCCCAGCCACCAGCATCCACCCAGCCATCAACTCCAGTGTCTTCTTCTGGGCAAACTTCCACCCCAACTCCAGGCTCAGTGCCCAGTGCTAGCCAAACCCAGAGCACACCGACGGTCCAGGCTACAGCCCCGGCGCAGGTGACCACACAGCCTCAGACTCCTGTCCAGCCTCCATCCGTGGCCACTCCTCAGTCATCACAACAGCAGCCGACCCCCGTGCACACCCAACCTCCTGGCACGCCGGTAAGCCTCTCTGCCTCTCAAATGGGCACTTTCCTGGAAAGAAATTGTGTAGTGATGCCAGTAAGTGTCGTGGTGCCACCCCGCCAGGTTTCTTCGCCCTACCAGACTCTCATTTCCACAATTCGCTCAGAAGCTGCAGTTGGCAGTGTGTGACTTTGGGCCAAACAGCAATTTCGCAGAAGCTGTGCAGGCCCCAGTCCCCTGGAGTGTGTTTGGACCGTCCCAGGCAGGAGCTGAGCTCCCGAATAACTATCTGAGATTGTTGGTGTCTCACTTAGAGCTGTTCTCTCTGAAGGGCTTTGTCAAGATCCGTGAGCAAGTCCAGTTGTTGATGCACTGCCTCTCGGCCGTGTTTCCCGATAGGAAGCCTTTCCTGCTTTCCAAGAGGAAGTCGTGCCCAGGAACCCCCTCCCCGGAATCCATTGCCTTTATTCTGGGTACTGCAGGCGCCGGCCGCTCCAGGATGAGATTCTTATTCCTCCAGAGGGCGTGTCCTCATTTATCCTTAGTTTATATTTCTTTAGTTTGATTTTGGGCCACATTTGGAGGTGCTCACAGTTTCTCCTGACTCTGCGCTCAGGGATCAGACAGGGTTGGCTATATGCAGGGCAAGCACTGTGCCTACTGTCTTAGCTCTGTGGCCCCGGATTTCTTAGCTCTAAATTAGACCCAGTATAAATTTTATTTACTTAAACTCATAGGGGAGACTTTGACATTTTCGAATTATTTTAATAGTTTCTTCTCTTCGTGTTTGTTTACTTCTCTGCCACAGTACCACTAGCTTTCTTGCATTTAACAGGCTAATTATATATTCTTGTTACTTGTAGGCACTTTAATCTGGCCCTACCTATATACTTAGAGGTTTTGCAGGTTTGGGGAATGGTAGGGAGTGGTGGTCAAACCCCTGATGCTCAGGGGTTCCTCCTGACTCTGCACTCGGGAATCACTCCTGGCGATGCTGAGGAGACCACATATGGGGCTGGGGATTGAACCCGGGTTGGCCACGTGCAAGGCAGGCGCCCTCACCACTGTGCTTATCACTCCACCCTGTGCTTAGCATTTGTTATTTGACCTTTACGTTGTACATTCATGACCATATTTTAAATAGGAGGTTCTATGACTTACGTAGAACTAATTTTATAACACAATTCAGAAATCTCTGTTCTTCCATTTTGATTCTTAACCAGAAGTTATTGTGTTCTGCCTGATGAGTTTCTGTAAAACTCCTCTGCTAGCTTTGGTGCTTTGGTTCTCTGAGAGAGAAGGGGCGCCTGTCAGTTGCGTGTTGGGTGAACCGTTATGGGTGACGACTCTTGCACACAGATAGATGCTCTGACTCTCCACAGCTTTCCCAGGCAGCAGGCAGCATCGATAACCGGGTCCCCACGCCGTCCTCCGTGACCAGTGCTGAAACCAGCTCTCAGCAGCCAGGAGCCGAGATGCTGGAGATGAAGGCCGAGATCAAGACGGAGGACGCCGAGCCTGACGCCAGTGAGCCCAAAGGAGAGCCTGGCTCTGCGGTAGGCACTGCTCCTGGGGTGGCTGGCTGGGGCTCTCTAGACGCTAGGTGTGGGTTTTGTTTACTGCGTTAGGAAGAACATGTCTGTGTTTGTGCTTCATTATTTGAATAATACTTACTTGAATTACGCGGCAGCTTTCTCCCCGACGTTCCTTGTTCATGTAGAGTTCTTCTGTCAGACTGCACAGGCTGTTCATTTACATTACAGGCCAGTGGCAGGAATCGAAAACTAGCAGATCATGGGCTGAATCCAGCTGATAAATTTCTTGTCTGGCCCACAGAATGATTTCGAAATGGGAGATTGCAAGCAAATTGCGATTTCTGGCTTTCTTCAAAGTAAGAAGCCTTTTTACCAGCGTGTTTCTATTCCCACATAGTAGCAGTCGGGATCTGGGGGCCAGTGGGTGCCAGTATGTGAGGTCTCCTGTCCCCGGCGGCAGTGACTTCACTCGCTTGGCCCTCTTGGCAATTTGATGCCTGTCCCGATTTTCAAGATTTTCTTATTCCAAACCAGAACTCTGTGTGAGACTAACGGGCAGATGCTGCTTGTGGAGGCAAGCAGTTTCCTTTGAGCACTGTAGCGTAGAGAGGGGACCCCGGGCTCCATGGTTCTGGGCTGGGCCCGCACAGTGCAGCAGAGGCCAGCGAGAGTGCGAGGCTCCCCGGCAGGCCGCTTCCCGGAGGTCGCTGACGACACGTGCTCTTGTCTGTGACTTTGTCTTTCTGAAGATGATGGAGGAGGATTTGCAAGGATCTTCTCAAGTTAAAGAAGAAGCGGACACCGCGGAGCAGAAGTCGGAACCAATGGAGGTGGATGACAAGAAGCCGGAGGTGAAGACAGAAGCGAAGGAGGAGGAGGAGAGCAGCGGCAACGGCGCGGCCTCCCAGTCCACGTCCCCTTCGCAGCCCCGCAAGAAAAGTAGGTGCCTGTGTCTGCGCCCGCACTGCAGCTCTGGGCTGGAGCACGTGGTTGGCACACGGGAGCCGGGCTTCTAGCCCTGCTTCCTCAGCGCCCGACAGCGGCTCCCGTCCCACTGGGAGTAGCCCCCAGCCCGCCCTCCCTTCCTGACCCAGTGGAAATTGTTCCGGCTCCCCTTGCATTCGTCACTGAATGAGCTGCGCTCCAGCCTGAGAACCAGAGGACCTAGATGGGAATGAGCCCAGTGGCTCCGGGCAGAGGGCACGGGAAAGAGGGGCAGCGGGACAGAGGGGCAGCGGGCCTACTTTGCAGGGCGGGTCGGCAGGCCAGACAGGGCGTTGGTGTGATCTCCACTAGAGCAGTCACGTGTCACTGGGGTTCACGAGTGTCTCCTAATGGAGACAGCACCAGGGACTGGAGCTTGGTCTGAAGGTCGCTCCCAGTACCCCAGGTGTAGCTTGAAAATAAGACCAGGAAACAAAACGCTCCAGGCAGGAGGGTGGGGCCATCCCGTCGTTGAGTGTTAGAGAAGTCGGGTAAGGTAAAACTTCCGAATTGGAGGATGCGTAGGGCACACTGTTCTCGTAGCGCATGCTGGATACAGTGGGAGGCCGTTTGAGATGTGTCCAAAGGAATTGCGGATGTTGGAAAACTGTCAGGTGGCCCTTAGCCATGTAGATGGGGCTCCGAAAGCTCAAGGATGCAGGTGGCATCTGTAGGAAACGTTGTGGAGAGATGGTAGAAGTTGTCAGTTTGCCACTGGAAAGAGACCTTAGAGTGCAGCAGTTCTTCAGTTGCTGTTCTCAGATCTCTACCCTAGAAACACTGGATTTGAGAACGTCTCTGTAGACTTTCTATTGCTGTTTATTCCAAGAGTTATTTCGTGGGCCAGAGCAGTAGTACAGTGGGGAGGGTGCTTACCAGGTTCGATCCCCAGCACTGTACGTGGTCCCCCAAGCTCTACCAGGAGTCATCCCTAAATGCAGAGCTAAGAGTAAGGCCAAGCACAACCAGGTGTGACTCAAAAGCAAAACAGAGATTCTTTTTATGAAATCAGATTCATTGAAAAATAAAAATCTGAAGGGCCAGAGCAATAGTATAGCGGGTAAGTCACTTGCCTTGCAAGCGGCTGACCTGTGTTCAATCCTTGGCATTCCATATGGGTCCTGCAAGCCCACCAGGAGTGGTTCCTGCATGCAGAGCTGGAGTAACCCCTGAGTATTACCAGATGAGGCCCCAAAACCAAATAAATAAAGCCCTGGGACAGATTGATACTGCAGCAGGTTAGCTTACTTTGCGTGTGTCCAGGCTGGGCTCAGTCTCACCACATTGGCCCCCGAGCACCTCAGGGTACGCCGCCCATGGGGGCTAGAGCGATAGAGTAGCAAGTAGAGCATTTGTCTTCGCATGCAGCTGACCTGGGTTCAATCCCCGGCATCCCCTATGGTCCCTCAAGCACCATCAGGAGTAATTCCTGAGTACAGAGCCAGGAGTAACCCCTGAGCATTGCTGGGTTTAACCCAAAACATATATATATAGCATGGCAGCTATAAGAATTTTATGAAAAGTAGCCTTCAAGAACCATTTAATTTAATTTTTGAAAGCAGTGACGTGAATTTAGTTTTGCAGTCTGAGAGTTGAGTGGTCACAGCTGTGGCCTCTTACCTGCCTCTCTCGCACCTGGATGGCATCATTTGAGTGAAAGACATGGAATTCTCACTGACAAGCCACTGGGAAAGGGAGCAAGTATTTTATATTTTGGTAGTCTTTTAAGGTAAAGGCCCTCCCGTCGATTTGCTCGAGCGGGCCCAGTAACGTCTCCATTGGAGACTTTGTTGTTACTGTGTCTGGCATATCGAATACTCTCGGTAGCTTGCCGGGCTCTCCGAGAGGGGCGGAGGAATCGAACTCGGGTCGGCCATGTTGACCGCTTGTAAGGTGAATGCACTACTGCTGTGCTATAATTTTTAATATATATTGTACTAAAACTCAAGTGAAAATTATAGTTTAAAATTAGAATCCATTTGTCTATTGGATCTTGGAATTAATTTTCCGCCCTTCACTGACTTTTCAAAACATATATTCTAGCTAGATTCTCACTCAGGTATCATTGATCATTTTGTACCACTGGGGGCTTCAGGGACAGGCAGCAGCTTAGGGAATTCAGAGCCTTGAAACGAGTTTTGCAAAAAGAGTTAAAGAAGCTTCTTTAAAAGATGAGGCAAACTTCTCAGTGCTTTGCCATGAAGTGTGGCATTCACTCATGACACTTATGGTTGCCCTGAACTATAGTCCTTAAATTGAATATTCTGTGTCTATTTGGGTGATTTTTTTCCCTACATTTTTGGAGATTTGTATTTTTTATTAATGCGGATACTTAAGCATTATCTATAATACACTTTCTAACAGAAAGCCAATGCTACCTTTTTTTTTCTTCTTTTAGGGTCACACCCTGCGATGCTCAGGGGTTACTCCTGGCTTTGCACTCAGAAATTACTCCTGGCAGTGCTCAGGGGACCCTGTGGGATGCTGGGAATCGAACCCGGGTCAGCCATATGCAAGGCAAACACCTACCCGCTGTACTATCGCTCCAGCCCCACCAATATTACCTTTGAAATTTCTGTCATGTAAATTTTTTAATGCATTAGCTTAAAATTATGCTGTTTAAGTGCCTTTAATAAGAGACAGTTTTTGAAAAAAAAAATAACGCATGTCATATGTGTGTGTACGGGTATGCAGTGCCATCTTTTTGTCATCCGGGAATTTGACTCCCTGCCTTATGCAGGACATTTTTTGTTTTCTTATTTTTTTACTGTTGGGCCACTCAGCTGTGCTTAGGCCTGGCTCTGTACTCAGGAGTTTCTCTTGGCAGTCTTGGGGGACCATCTGGGATGCTGGGGATCAAACCCAGTTTGATGTACAAGGCAAATCCCTATCCACAGTAGTATTGTCCCGTCGTCGTCGTCCCCGTCCCCCCCCCCCCAGTTTTTTTTCTTTAATTGTATTCTGTCTTTTGGACTGCACCCAGCAGTGCCCTGTCGCACTGGGGTGGTGGCACCAGTGGCACATGGGCTGGGCCGAGAGGCAATGCTGTGGGGCTCACCCGAACCCCCTGAAGGCAAGGCATAACCTGTTGAGTGTTCTCTCTGGCAGAAAATATTGTCACTTGTCCTTAAGTAACTTGTGACCCCACATGTTCACTTTTGAGAAACTGTCAGTCACATACCTGGACCTACTTTCTTCTCCCAGTGACTTGGTGCTTGGTAGGTCCCACCTGGAACTTCTGAACGCTTTCAGAGTCTTGTTCTGCTTTGTAAGTTATAGTTGGTCGTGTCTCCGTTGTAGAGAGTCTCTCGAATCACTCTCTAAGGAAGAAATGTGGATGAGTTGTCTGAAGTGCTTGCTTGGGTGCTGCTGTCAGGGTTGGGAAGGGCTGTGTGAGCTGCGCCCCCGCCCTCTCTGCCACTGTGCTTCTGCCTTCCTGCCCATGTCAGACGCCTGTGGAGTGGGGAGGCGCCCCAGCACTGCTTGTGCCGCCACAGTCACATTGGTGATGCTTTGGAGGTCACACTGTGCTGGAGACAGAACCCAGGGCCACTCATGCCAGGACATGCCCCAGCCCTTAGCATTCACCTTTCTATTTGGCAGCCAGCATCCTTCTGTCCATCCGTCCTTCCTTTCTCCCTTCCTTTGAACTTGCTCCTGGTTCTGTGCTTGGAAGATCGTTCCTGGCAGTGCTCAGGGGACCATGTATGGTGCCAGAAATTGAACCGAGGTCTGCTGCATGCAGGCCAAGCGCCTGCACTCCACCCGATCCTGGCTTCATTTTCTGTGCATCAGAGATTAGTATTAAGCCTTGAATTGAGAAAGCAGACTTCTCAGCATGGCCTTTTACCTCATGAGCTGTTGCTGAAGTTTGTATGCTGTGTATTCAGAAACCTTGAGTTGCAGCGTTTTGTTTCGGGGCCTCAGTCAGTAATGCTCAGAGCTTGCTCTTGGCTCTGCACTCAGGAGTCACTCCTGGTGGGGCTAGAGAAACTTAATGGGACGCCAGGGATCGAACCCAGGTTGGACACATGCAAGGCAGACATCCTACCCTCTGTACTCTGCTCAGGCCTCCAGAGTTGCAACTTCTGAATGTTGCTGACTGTTCAGGAATGACAGCTGTGAGACCTTTCAGAAGCTGTGGGCTTGCGCATGGATTGTGGGGAAGGGGACCCTGACGGTCTCTTCAGCCATGTGTCTCTTGATGTTTCTTCCTGCAGTTTTCAAGCCAGAGGAACTGCGCCAGGCTCTCATGCCAACGCTGGAAGCGCTGTATCGACAGGACCCAGAGTCCTTACCGTTTCGGCAGCCCGTCGATCCCCAGCTCCTAGGAATCCCGGTGAGTTAGCAGTGTAAAATAAAACCGCCAGTCTGGCTCTTAAGTGTACGTTAGTTTATTCTTTAGAGTATCTGTATAAAATAATTGGATTAGAGCGAGAGAGGTAGAGTCAGGGGTAAGTCATATTCATGTGACTGATCCCGTTTGAATGCCCAGCACCAGGGACACTGCCAGGACTCACCCCAAATACACCCCTCCTCCAGATTTTTATTTTACTGACTGTGCTCAGCGGAAGCTCCTGACTCTGTGCTCAGGGTTCAGTCCTAGAGGGATTGGGGACCATATGGGATATTGGGGATTGAACCCAGGTCAGTTCACATACAAGGCAAGCACCTTACCTGCTGTGCTGTTGCTCTGGCCCTGGTTTTATCATTTCCATCCTACTTAGTACCCAGAGTTGTGCCTGTGGCCCCGTGTGCCCCTGAGCCATCTCCCTGTCTGTATTGGTTTTATTTGGAAGGGGCAGGGCTTGGGCCATACCTGGTAGTGCTTGGTGGTATTTGGGGGACCGTATGCATTACCAGGGATTGGACTTGGATCTGTCATGTGCAAGGCAAGTGCCTTAACCCCTGTACTATGTCTCAAACCCTTATTTTAAAAACATTGCATTAGGGGGCTGGAGCAGTAGTGCAGCGGGTAGGGCATTTGCCTTGCACGCAGCCAACCCAGGTTCGATTCCCAGCTTCTCATATGGTCCTCTGAGCACCGCCAGGAGTAATTCCTGAGTGCATGAGCCAGGAATAACTCCTGAGCATCGCCGGGTGTGACCCAAAAATAAAAATAAATATTTTTAAAATTACATTAAAATGTGTGGGGTTTTTTGTGGCTGGGTAGAGCATTTCCGTAGCACATGTGCCCTGAGCCCATCCCCGGTGCCACAGGCCAGACCACCTGGGAGTGTGCTGGACCCCGCACTGCTGAGGTGTGAGTAGGTGCTGTTCCCTATTCTAAAAGAAGGAAAATAAGGGGTTTTCTCAATTCTTTATGTTTGTTTGGGCCACACTTGGCAGTGTTCAGGGCTTACTCCCTGTGCAACTCAGGACCATATTTGGTGGCCGGGGACAGAGCCTGGGTGGGGCTTGCAAAACCATCCCTGTATTCTCTCTCTGGGCTCCTGTTCCTTAATTCTGTTAATACATTAAATTTGCTTTGAAGCAATTTGATTACACTTGGAGATAACTACAATTTCATATAGTGAAGTTGGGAAGATCAGAGACTCCATTCTCATTCCTCGTTCCTGAAAGTAGGCTGATTGGAACGTTTTGTTTTGAGCTAAGTCTCCTACCTAAGGCTAGTATCCACAACACAGGGGAGCAACCAGACTGACAGTGCTTTGTCTTGAAGGATTATTTTGACATTGTGAAGAATCCTATGGACCTCTCCACCATTAAGCGGAAGTTGGACACGGGACAATATCAAGAACCCTGGCAGTATGTGGATGACGTCTGGCTTATGTTCAACAATGCCTGGCTCTATAACCGGAAGACGTCTCGGGTCTATAAGTTCTGCAGTAAACTCGCAGAGGTCTTTGAGCAAGAAATTGACCCTGTGATGCAGTCCCTTGGGTACTGCTGTGGACGAAAGGTACGGTTTAAACTTGACTAGGAAATTCTTTTCCTTGATTAAGCCAAAGGGATATTATGATACTGTGATTCAGCATTTTGGCCACACCTGTGAGCTGGACTCTGTGTCACATAGTATCTCTGTCTTTTTATGAAATAGTCGGTTGCCTAAAGTGATGAGTGAGTGAGCCCAGTCATTGTGTGTTTGGCTGCCTCTGTATCCATTTGTCTGTACATGATCAGTACCTCTGGGATGCAAGTTCTGTCCCATTGTATCAAAAAAGTCTGTAAACAGTGATGAAAACTACTATCCACTGGACTAACATCAGTTTCACCCTTTGTAGTGGCATGGAACGTGATCTAACAGTAAATGGTCTGTATTTAGACATTTTCCCTTTGTTTTTGCAGTATGAGTTCTCCCCACAGACTCTGTGCTGCTATGGGAAGCAGCTCTGTACGATTCCTCGGGACGCAGCCTATTACAGCTACCAAAATAGGTAAGTGGGCAGCAGTGTGTGGAACTGGGGGTTAAAGGGCAGGTCTTTGGGCAGGGTGAGCTCACCTGATTGGAGCCAGGCACATTATTTCTCTCCAGCCTTCAATGGGAACTGCCCGTCCTCGTGCAGCCTGATCACACAGATTACATTTCAGATGAAAGCATGCTTTTCAGCATGGCAATTCAAACTCAGAACTGCTTAATACATTTCTAGCACCAGATCAATTCATTCTTAAGCCATGGTCTCTAGAGTGAAACCACATTAGAGCTGAGTTGATGTACCTCTAAATAAAGGCTGACATGCCTTTTAAGTCAGTAATAAAGTTGAAAATTTTTAGTTTTCTATATGTAAATATTTGCCTAATTTTGACCTTGACAGTCGCATGGCAGGACTTGCGTTGGTGCCAGTTTATTTTTAAAATAAAATTAAAAACATAAAGCTTATAATAGGATTTAGTAAAAAAGTAGTAATCATGTACAAAATCAGATGATGTTTTTATTGAGTTGAAGAACAACTCCCGTACTTGCCTTGCATGTGTGAGAGGCCCTGGGCTTTCCACTTTCGCATAGAGAAAAGAACAACAAGAATCTCCCATTGTTTTGGTAGATGGTGGTGAATGAAAAATAGATCTTCTGGCCAAAGAGCGGAGCAGGCTGGCATGCGTGCTGACTTGCAGGCAGCCCGGACCGTTCCAGCCACAGGCAGAAGTGATCCCTGAGTACCACCCAAACCAAGAAAGGAGTAGATCACCCATTACAGGAAATGGGAGAGTGGAAACAATATGTTGGGGCTGTTTTGAAATTTTGTGCCCGTTGTTTTAAGTGGCCACATGTTGCTAGAACAGGAGGGTGTCCTGGCTCCGGCTCAGGCGGTCAGTCTGGCTTAGGGTCTCGGTGCGACTGAGATGGAGCTTGTGCCTCTTCGCCCCCTTCAGCATTCGGCCCAGCAGGAGCTCCATGGGCTGAGCACATGTGTTGAGTGTGGGAAACGGTTAGAGTCCCTTGAGCACCACCTGGAGGTGACCCCAAAGGCCAGAGAAGCAGAAGTCAGCATTAGGGTGTCAGAGGCATTTCAACTACTTATTTCCTTGGGGCAGTTATATGAGGTTCTAATATTTTGAAGAAACAGAAGAATTTTTATTTGTTCAGAGATATATTGTGGGGTTTTTTTCCTCACGTTATGATTTCTAAATTATTTTAAAATTTATTTGGCGCCACATGTAGCATTGTGATGGGCTCTTGACTCAGTTTTGGGGTGGTCACGACTAGCAAGTCTCCTGAGGACCTCATATTACTGCAGGGAGCCTAGACCTACTGCTGGAAGCTTGTGCTCCAGCCTGTTGAGTATTTCTCTGACCCTAATTCAGTTTTGTTGAAATGGCTTACCATATTCAAGATAATCCTCAGCAAAATCTTATCTAAAAACCTTTTGACCTAAACGTGTCTGATTACAACAGGCCTTGCCAGCTTGCTGTACTGTTTGGTCCCACAGAATGCTGGCATGGGGGAGGGATGACTGTCCCCAAAGGGCACCTACGGGAAGTGCTACTTGAACACCCATCCTGCTGAAAATACTCGAGAAGGGGGATTTCATTTCTGCCTTAATTTCCCCTTCTCCATATATCAGTATAAGCATTTTAAAACAAAAGTTGGAATGTATGCCATCGTCCTTTGTCATGAAATTTCTCTCATTGTGACAAGTGTTACTCCTGATTTCTGGCCCCTCTGGGCCGTTTCAGTCCCTTGACCTGGTACCTCCAGCAATGAGTGCATCCGCCTTCACCTCTGTCCATGTTTGTGGGCACAGGGGCAGTTGTCAGTGTCCGGTGATACGATGCTCAGGAATTCACTTTGGAAACTGTCAGGTGCCAAGTAAAATAAAGTTATGAAACTAAGTTTAAAATCAACTGCATTTGAAGAACGGCACGCCCATTTTCGTCTAGAACAGGCAAATAGCTTGCCATGCTCACCAAGGTTTTGTGGCCTTTTCATTGTGGTTTCTCTGTCACTGGGTTTTTTCAAATCCTGCCTTTGATTGTTTGCACAGAGAAATTCACTTTCAGTAGAATTAATAGTGCTGCTGTGTACTGCTCCCCCGAGGGGAAGATTGTAGATGAGTGTAAACACAGGAATGTTTTTGAAGGTTCTGAAAGTCGAACTCTACTTCCATGGTGAACTCAATTTTACTGAACAAAAGAAATTTTTGTTTTTCTTCTCCCTTTTTTGGTGGAGTGGTGCTCAAGTCTTCCTGCTGGCTCAGGGATCCCCCCTTCCAGGGTCTGGGGGACTGTATGATAGGACCTGGGCAGCTACATGCAAGGCAAGCGCCCTTACCAAGCACAGCACTATTAAGGAGCTCTCTTACATGAACAAACGTGTAGGCAGGTCACACCTCAGCTTATTCTCAGGGTTGTGCTTTCTAGAATAATTGTACTTGAAGGTATTAACATATTGTATTCTGAGAAAGGTAGAGGCCTGATTCTAAGATGGACATTTTGACTGCTGACACTCTTAACTTCAACTATTGTTTGTGAACACTGTAGGGGTTTTTTTTTCTTGTTTTTTGCATTTTTTAAACAATTGCTTTGGCACCTGTGGTCCTAAACTGGGCATTTAGAATCCCAGAAAATCCTTCAAAACAGGTGAAACCCTCTATCAAAACTATTTGGCATTTGGTTAATTTTCGTTTGGCTTTCTAGCTTTAAAATTTTTAAAGTAATTCATGTTGGGAAAACTGTTTATACATTTTCCAGTTCCTAAGATGCCACATATAACTATCCCAGTTATTTGTATATACTGGTATGGGACCTAAAACAATCTGCATTTGAAAATTTATTCCATACATTAACACCCTTATGATAAAAGCCGTGCAGTTCTGTTCTGCTAACTTTAGGTAGCCAGGCGTACATCATCATCAGATACATGGAATATTTCGTTTCTGTAATTCCATATCCATCAAACTGCTTCCTTCACACAAGGCAGACTTGTCACCAGGATTTTAGGTTGGAACGTGAATTTTCAGAGCCACAGTGTATTTCCAAGGTAAATGGAGTTTCACTAATAGGGTAGAAGCGGCCGGGCATTAACATGTCAGCCCCAGTGGCCAGGCTGCCGCAGCTGACTCGCATGTTCCCGGACCCCTGGTGAGGTGCTGCCCGCCTTCCTGCCTCACACACCTACCTGCCAGGGCAGCCTCTGCAGTGCGCTGCCGTTGCCTGCGCAGGCCGGAGGGTCCACTAACTCGACTCCTCCCACTTTCCAGCTGGAGGTCAGGACTTGGCCTAACTGGGAGTTCGTGACAGGTGACAGGGTGGGTTCTGCAGCCACCCCTTCTTCCTCTGGGATACGGCAGGTCTGATTTTTGTTGCCTTGGTGTTGCTGGGCCTGTTAGGCAGCCTGAAGAGAGGCGAAGAATTTGGCTAGGATTTCAGAACTCTGCGGACTCACACACATCATCAGTTTTCCCGTGAGAATCACGCTCAACAGGCTTCTTTCCGCTGGCCCACAGCAGCTAGCGTGGACTGGAGCAGTCAGTTCCCAGTTTGGTTTTTAAATGGGAACTGCTTGTCTGTGAGGGGGACCCTTTTTGCACGTTGTTCTGGTTGCCACTAAGTAGTTCTCTGGTTTCCGTACTTCAGTTTTGCCACGCCTGCATGTGGAAATTCCCTTCACGACATGACTTTAAGGCTTCGGAAATTGCCAGAATATTGGTCTAGTTTATTCCCCTAGAACGACCCCTAGGTAGATACAGCAGCGCTGACGATCTGTCCTGCTCAGGCTGCTTACTCAGCAGCATTCTGAGGGGCTGTGTCCTAAGCAAACGGGTCCTAGCAAGAAACGGATAAATCTAGTCGCTCCCCGTGCTGTCACCAGCAGACGGGAAAGGGAAATGGTCTCGGGTGTGCAGGTCCTGCCTCGCCGCGCTGTACCCTCCTCTCTCCAGTCAGGGGGGCGTGGCAGACAGGCTACTCGCCGGTGGCTCGGGGGGCGGGGGTGGGGGGTTAGTGTAGGTCATGGGGCCAGCGGGCCCGGGCCTGGGTGTTCGTGTGAGTGAAGCCACGCTGTCTGCCTGCCGCCGCCACCAGCTCCACGTGGCACCCGAGTCTTGTCACAGTGTCGTTCTACTAATCCGCTTGGCATCCTGTAGACATAGTTTTGAGCACTAAAACTGCATTTAATTGTGCTGCTGTCACTACCTGACACTCGTCCTTTTCGCTTGTGGTCCACTGTTGAGCGTGTTGATTCTGACACTGTCCTTGTGTGCGCACCCTGTGTATGCGGCATCCGCCTGCGCTTCTGTTGATTTCTCATGTGTCCTTTCCAAACATTTGCTGGTTCCTGTTTAATTGTTCTTGTTTGATAGATTGAGCCCAGGCTCTCTATTACAAGAAAATTGGGATGATGGATAATTTCTCAAATGCAGATTGTGCGTTAAAAATTCAGTCTCGAAATTTGCTTAACTTGGAATGTTGCCCAGTCCAAGCGTCACTGAGGATGTCGGACTGCTAAGTGCTTGGTCCCAGGAACAAAACATCCCACCAAAGCTTAGAGCCGAAGTTTGAAAGTATTTAAGATGGTGCTTGGATTGCTATATATTGTATTACGTATACAATATATCACAGTTTTCTCTCTGTACCTTCCTATTGCTAAATGGCTGGAAAGTCCTTGACTCCGACTGCATTTCTGTTAAATGTTTGTCTAGAATATGGATTTGGTTTCATTTGTATTGTAACCCAGTTGACCTGATTAACATGACAAAAATAACAAATTAAAATGGGTTCTAGTTACTCTGCGTTTTTATACCTTCAAAGACCTGGCTTAACATAGAAAGAAAATACCTGAATTTGCTGTCAGGCATAAATTTTCCATTTTGAAAAACCAAACTATTTCTGTTTAAATTGCTTTTTTGTTCAAAGTAAACTTTTTTCTATTTCAAACGCGAGTTATATTTGATTTTTATTTAAGTAATAACAAAATTCAAAATCCTACGCTTAGGCTCCTTGTGATTCTAATACGAACAACCCCTTGAAACATTTGCATCTTGGAGCTGGCCTGAACCGGGTCGTTGTTAGTGATGCTGGCCTGTGTCGTGTGCAGTGAGACCGAACGCTAATCAATGCTTTGCCTTGGCTTTCTGCTCTGTGTTGTCTTGGTGTTTGCGTCTTACCTTTATGTCTGTGCTATTTGTTCCTTCCCTGTTCTCTAATCCTGCCCTCCCCACCTGCCCGTCCCTCTCATTGTCCTCACTGACCCATCAATCAACCAACAACGCCCCCCCTTCGTCGTGGTGATCTGCCCTGCTCTGATTGGTGGCGTCGTTGCTTGGGTGGCTGTGTGTTATGATGGACCAGTTCACCCAAGTATGGCCTTCTTGCTGACAGGTATCATTTCTGTGAGAAGTGTTTCACAGAGATCCAGGGGGAGAATGTTACCCTGGGTGACGACCCATCACAGCCCCAGACGTAAGTATCCCCGTTGCTTCTCGGGTTGCTCAGCGTTGGTGTCCCGCCTTTCCCATGAAAAATAGGGGAGCCATGCTGCCATCTGGACCTTGGGGAGTGTTTTTCTCACCGTACCCACACTTACACTGTCAAATGAACGGTTTCAGCCGAACCCACATTGCCTCCCTCCCGTCGGCCCTCTTTTTTCCCCACAGATGCTTGTTCTTCTTAGTAGCTGCCAGCCTTCGTTTGGGGGGATTTTTCAGTGATTCCAAAGACGTTAGAATTTAGAAGAGGCACGTGCAGTCAGCCATACCTCAGTTAAAAACAACAAAATGATACCCCCGATTCACAGAACAGGCAGTAGCACACTTGAGGTTTTGAGGGTTCTTTCCTTGCTTTTTTATTGAGGTTCCACGATTCGCAGTATTGTCAATGATGGCCTTGTGCGTTCATTGTTATAACGCTGCCCCCCCCCCCCCCGCCCCCCGCCAGGGTGCCCGCTTCTCAGACCTGTGGTTCAAGAACGCTGGTGTTGCGAGGCCTCCGTCCTTTCCGTTATGGAGCCAAGGGGATACCGAGAGGCTGGTCCCACAGAGCCTTGCTGGGGTGATACCCAGTGGCTCCCCGGTGCTCCCAGGCAGACAGGTGTGCACTGATTCTCACCTCTGCCGAGTTCACCTTTCCTCCCAGCACCCTGCCTCTGCTGTCGAGTGGCCAGGTGTTGCAAGAAAGCCAGCCCATGAATTGGATGGTGCTCCCGTTGGGGGAGCTGAAATATTTGAATCTTGCCACCAGTCCGCCTCATTCTGTCTTTCTCCTGACTGATTCCTGCCGTGCAGGGAGGTCAGCTGGTATGACTGTCTCCCATGGGCAACAAGACTTCCCACACGGGGCCTTCCGGTTTGTGTGCAGCTCAGTTTCACTTTTTCACACAGAACAAAAAGCAGCCACTTGGCATACAGACTGAAGTGGCAGGGGGTCTCCATAGCCACTTCACTCTCATGTCCCTTGCCATCTTCATTTTTTGGTCCGGTTATATGGTTTATAATTTGTGGGTCAAAAGTAGTTCGCACGTGCAGTAATCATAATCAGAGCAGTGAGGAAAGCGACTCTTTTCCCATATGCAGAATAGCTCACAATGGATGTATAACCAGGTATCATTGGGGAACTTTCCAGTTAGGATTTATTGCGTGAAAATGGATTAAGTCTGTCACCGTTCGTGATAGGGGTTTACTTGGAAAGCACCAGGTGTGAATCTCAGCGTACTCAAGGATGAGACTCAGTGTAGCACACTGCTTTGCCTGTGTGAGGCTCTGGATTAAATCCCAGGCGCACACACAAAAAAAGCTCAGTATTTTGACTAGACTTAACTAATCTTATAATAATAAATGTTGATAGTTGGGGAAAGTATTCCAAGGAAGATAGAAAAAATTAATAATAGTTCTTTCTATTGCATATGTTCATCATCAGTGTGTCTACTTGAGATTTTAGCTACTCACCAGCTCGGTTTAAGAATAAGTTGCAAAGTCGTGGAGTTCATGCCCAATTCAGTCAGCTTAATCAATGGCTGAATAAATAGCAATACTCGTATATTTAAAAAAAAAAGTTGCAAAGTAACGTCCCAGATATGCCCTATGTTCTGTAGTAGGGCTTGTGTAGTATTGCAACAGCATATATAGCTGTAGTTCATATTCAGCAAATAAATTTTAATGAATGTTTTTTCTTTTTCTTTCTGAAATAAGGACAATTTCAAAGGATCAGTTTGAAAAGAAAAAGAATGATACCTTAGATCCTGAACCGTGAGTATACAATTCTTTCTGACATGTAGAATTTAGTATATATTAGAAAAGGATTGGGCAGCAGGAGGAAATGTTGGAAATAGGGACCTTCAGTTAGAGGTTATTCCAGAAATTCTTGTTAACGCCTGGAAAGTCTGTGTCTCTCACTCAGGATGCCCTGGCTGGGCTCTGAGTGAGATCAGGTGGCTATTTGGTTCTCTCTGCGCTTCTTCCCCAGCTCAGTCACCGGCGCCTCGAGGCCCTATTTAGTGTGATTCTTTAGAGACCAAAGGCAGAACTATCTGGTGGGGTACTAGGACATTTCAAGGGAAGTCTCTGGAAGAAAACCTTAGAAATCCCGTTCTAAAAATGAGCCAGGAGAAGTCTGGGGTGTGCTATGCGCTGCCTTCTCTCCGACATTCCAGTGCGTTTCCCAAGCCTGCGTTGGGTGAGAGTGTCGCTGGCTTGCTTTGTACTAGCCCCTAGTGAGGCTTCAGAGTAAGATCTTGGGTGTCCCCTCCAGGGGTCCCTAGGGCCACATGCTGTGGGAGCGCACCACTGGGCGCGTGGATCTACGGCCATGGCATGCCCAGAGCTCAGGAACGGCTGAGATGTTGTTTCGAGTGGGTCTCTCCTCTGTAGACAAACTCAGCTTGCAACCTTGAATCTTCTCTTGGTCATTTTCTTAGTCTCTGCTACTAACCAATGTCGAGGTCCGAGTGTCGAAACCGGAAGCTCGTGCCAGGGAGATAGCTAGGGGGCCCTAGCGCTGCATCACCAGGCACTGAGCTTTCCAGTTGACCTAGTGTCACCAGGAGTGGCCCCAAAGCCCCCACCACAGCTTGAGAGACTTTAAAAATAAATAATCTCGCAGTGCTGAGGACTTGGCCCCGGCTCTGTGTGCAGGCGGGGATTGAATCCAGGTCAGCTGCTTGGAAGGCAAGTGTGCCCTAGCTCCTAGACTATCTCTCTAGCCCCTCAGATTTTGTTTTATTTTTTGCTTTTTTTTGGTTGGTTGGTTTTGGTTTTTGGGCCACATCTGGCAGTGCTCAGGGCTTGCTCCAGCTCTCTGCTCGGGGATCACTCCTAGAAGGTCTCTGGAGACCCTGTGCAGTGTCTGGAATCGCACCCAGGTTGGCCGTGTGCATGGCGAGTGACCCCTGGGCCCTAGCCCTCTGGCCCCAGAGCTGGCCCTGCAGGGGACGACAAGCCTGATGTGGTGAAGCGACTCTCCCAAGCTTCCCCATGTGGAAGCTCTGCAGGGGACGCCGGGTAGTCAGGCTGAGCAGAAGTGCTGTGTGAGTCGGGAAGGCCCGAGACGGGTTCACGTGGTGCCGAGTGCGCTGAGGGTGAGTGTTCCGCACAGCTTGGGAGGGGGGCAGAGCGGGGCCGCGGGCACACACCGGTGTCCAGGGCACTGCAGAGACAAGAGGCGCGGGGCCTCGTGAAGCTGAGGCGAAGTGAGGGAGTTTCTGGCTTTCCGTGCAATTTGAGTCAAGGGAAGTATGGACTCTGACCTTGGAGCTGCCTGGCATTCCCAGGTGACCGTAGGACCCTGTGAGCCACCGTGGCCCCTTGTCCCGGTCAGAGCAGAAAGGAGCAACGCTGAGGCTGTCTGTCAGGAGGCCATTACGCCTTTTGTAACCTAGGGAAGCACTGACGTCAGTAGTGCCAGGAGTCAGGCCTGGAAATCCACCTTGATGTTGATTTGGAGTCAGGGAAAGGGAGGTGTCTGCTAGCGGTCACTAGCAGCGCTGTGCTTCAGGGTCATCCTTGTAGGTGCTGGCGATAAACCAGGATCTACAGTGACACTAAGGAAGTGCCTCACCTCCCTCTAGTCTTTCCCTGGCCCCTTAATTTTATTTATTTTTTTATTTATTTTGTATTTTAGTAAGATTTCATGTCTGGTTGCAAAGGATAGTGAGAGAAGGTGGCCTGAGCATTTGTGTAAGGAAGCTGGCCGTAGGCAGACTGGAGTTCGTAAGCGCAGCTGAGTCTGGCACCTGGTGTTGGAGATTGCTCGAGTCCGGGGCGGGGGGCGGGGGGTGAGGGGCCTGAGCGGGCCACCAGGCCGCCATGGACTGCGGGGTTACACTGCAAATTCTTGTCTTCCAGTTTTGTTGATTGCAAGGAGTGTGGCCGGAAGATGCATCAGATTTGTGTCCTGCACTATGATATCATTTGGCCTTCGGGGTGAGTGACTCCCTGGTGATCCTTGTTGTCCTGGGAAGGAGAGCAAACAGAGGGAGGACCTGTGTCTGCTCGTCCCCATCAGGAGCGTTGGCCTGCTGGGTCCACTGCCCTCTGCTTCCCACCACGCTGTGACCCCCAGTGTTGAGTCCTCGTCGGCAGGATGCTCTTTCTCCTTTGGTCTCCTCACACCCCTTCTTTTTTACCACCCCCCAGCTTTGTGTGTGACAACTGCTTGAAGAAAACTGGCAGAACGCGGAAAGAAAACAAATTTAGTGCTAAGAGTAAGTGGTGGAAGGGTGCCCCTCTTCGGGTCTGCAGCATAGAGGGACCCGCATCGTCCCCTGCTCTGACACCTTTTGTCCCGGGGCTCTGGAGCTTCCTGGCCTGTTGTACTCAGGGGTTACTCCTGCTCTGTGCTCGGCTCGCTGGGGAGGGCTCAGGATCACAGCGGTGCTGGGGTTGAATGCAGGTCGGCTGTGTGCACGGCCGGACCCTGTGTGCCAGGTGGCTCCCGGCCCCAAGGAGCCTGTTTTTAAGGGGGAAAAAAGACAAAAGTTACTGAGAGAGTACAGGGTAGCAGGCGCCTGCCTTGCTTCTGGTATCCCGGTTCAATCCCGGCACCAAAATGATACCAGAGCACAAGCCAAGAGAATCCCCAAAGCACTGCCAGGTGTGGCCCCCAGAACAAGCATCAGGCCACAGGAGAGAAAGAGGCAGAGCCTGGGGCCACGGTAGGGGGGAACCCGCTGTCTCTCATCCCTGGTCGCTCACCTGCCTTCTGCGTTCCCAGGACTGCAGACCACGAGGCTGGGGAACCACTTGGAAGATCGGGTCAACAAGTTTCTGCGGCGACAGAACCACCCTGAAGCCGGGGAGGTGTTTGTCCGGGTGGTGGCCAGCTCCGACAAGACGGTGGAGGTCAAACCCGGCATGAAGTCACGGTTTGTGTGCACACAGCACCCTGCTGGGCCCCGCTCTTGGCCCCCTTGCTTTCTGGAAACTTTTCCAACCTCAGCATGTAGCCTGCCCTCCTCACTGGGGAGGACCTTCCCCCCACAGCAGGGGCTCCTGGAAGGCTGCAGGGGGAGGGGCCAGGGGTGGGGTGTGACTTTAGCGGCTCTCCTTGGTCAGGCACCTTGTGGACAGTTACTTTCGTTTCAGATTCGTGGATTCTGGGGAGATGTCGGAGTCTTTCCCGTACCGAACCAAAGCACTCTTTGCTTTCGAGGAGATTGACGGCGTGGACGTGTGCTTCTTCGGGATGCACGTGCAGGAGTACGGCTCCGACTGCCCGCCTCCCAACACCAGGTGGGCTGAGCCGAGGGAGGGGACAGGCATGAGCCCAGGGCTCCTGCCAGTGGTATGTGCAGCCGAGCTCCTATGAAGAAGTTTTGTTTGCTTTGTGGTGTTAGGGATTGAAGCTGGACCTCAGATGCAAGGCGAGTGCTTGCCCACTGAGCTCCGTGCCCGGCACGGAAGGGACGTTCCGACTCTTCTTTTGAGCACATTTCATGAGTCGGTGCTGCTCCTGGTGCTCTGGGTGGCGCTTTCTGATGGGGGGGGGGGGCAGCACACAGACGTGGGGGCCACGCTGAGCTGGACCAGGCTGAGGTGTGCCTGCGCAGAGAGGTGGCGCGCCTGGGCTGGCGGGTCTGCAACTGCGAGCCCAGGCCACGCAGGGCCGGTCCCCAGGCCTCCGGCGCCCTGGAGCCTCAGAAGAACAGCTGGGGGGTGAGCCCGAGGGTGTGTCGCTCACCATGGAGGGCTGGAGGGTTGGCCCCAAGGAGCACAGGTGCCGGGTGGGTGATGCTGGGGGCTGACCGTGGCTCTGCTCCGTTTTCCAGGCGAGTCTACATCTCTTACCTGGACAGTATTCATTTCTTCCGGCCCCGCTGCCTCAGGACCGCTGTCTACCATGAGATTCTTATTGGATACTTAGAGTATGTGAAGAAGTTAGGGTAAGTCTTTTCATAGTACTCAGGTTTTTAGTTTTACATATTTCTGTTTTAAAGTGACACATTCTACCATTCTAGCAGGATTTGGAGGTCTCCAAAGCCCCTTCACACAGGGCGGCACCTTCCTGCCTCCCTGCCCACTCTCCCCCTTCCTTTCCTGCTGTCTCCTGACAGTCTCCTGCAGTGTAGTTTCCAGTTCACTGCAAATCCTTTTCCGAGCATTGTTCTCCCCTCAGTAAGATCCCTTGTACCTGTTTGCTGGCTTGGGGGGCTTCAGGAGGGCGGTGTATTTCTTTGGGTGTCAGTATCCAGCAGTGCTAAGGGAGCACTCCCACCTCTGTGCTGTGAGCTATTCCCCTGACCCTTACATTTTCAGGGGGCAGGAGGGAAATTGGGGCATGTGTCACACCCAGCAATGCTTGGGAGCTACTCCCAGCTCGGTGCTCAGAGTTACTCCAGAAGTGCTCGAGACCACGTGGTACAAGCGATTGAACCACGGTCGGCAGCCTGTGAGACGAGCACCTCTCCCTCCTGCTGTCCCTCTGGCCTGTGGAGGTCACTCATAACTTTGTGTCTCCATAAATTTATGTCTTTATTTTTCCTTTCTGGTTTTTGAGTCACACCCAGCAGGCTCAGGGGCCTGGGGGGTGGCCACGGGCCAATTGAGCACCCGACCGCTGGCATGTTGCTCCGCCCGTCCATATCGTATCTCTCTGGACACTGTAGAGTGGAGTCCTGCGAGATGTGGACTCGTGCTGGCTGTTCCTCTCTCTGTTGCCGTGTTAGTCTCTTACATTCCTTTCCCTAAATTGAAAAAGAGGCACTTGAGCAAGATGGCCTGGACTTGAATAAGTGAGGTGCCTGGGGGTGTCCCCGACCCGGCATGGGCCCTGCCTGGCCACACACCCTGGGCGGCGCTCTCAGCGCATTCTGCAGAGTTCCTCTCGGCGCCCACTTCATTCGGACATCCCTTTGTGCTCTCTTCCATGCTCTGCTCAGGGGTCACGCCTGGCTGGCTTGGGTCCATTGAGGATGCCGGGACCTTCCCCACTGTATCTTTCTCTCTGGTCCCTTCTTTCTTCACTTGTCTTTGTGATTTACTTCCACCCTGACTTCTGCCCCAGCACCTCAGCCGTTTTTCCTGGCATACAGGAGCGTCTCACTAGCCCTTCTGATTCTGTGCTTGTCCTGCAGATATGTGACAGGACACATCTGGGCCTGTCCCCCAAGTGAAGGAGATGACTACATCTTCCACTGCCACCCCCCTGATCAAAAGATCCCCAAACCCAAACGCCTGCAGGAGTGGTACAAGAAGATGCTGGACAAGGCGTTTGCAGAGCGAATCATTCACGACTACAAGGTACCGGGAGCTGGAGGAGCCGCATGTCATGGCTCTCCATGGTCTGTCTCAGCTTGGAGGCCTTGGGTTTGTGTGCAGTTTGGTTTGGGGTGGGGGTCAGGGGGTGATGAGGGCCACGCCTGGCGGTGCTCCAGAGACCGTACAGGGTGCCAGGATCAAACCCAGCCAGCCATGTGCAAGACAAACACCCTCCCCACTGTCTGTTGCTCTGGCCCAATATTCAGTTTGAATTAAAGAATGAAAATCAGAGCTTGCTATCAGCCACATTCCTCAGGTTTTTAGTTGGCACACTCCAGCCAGTGGTTAGGGCACCTGCTGACCAGGGGTCCATGGGCTTCCTGTGTCATGACCCCAAGTGCCCTTACCCAGCTGCAGAGCTCGGAGTCCGTCATCTTACTGTTGTGCTCCGGTCCCTCTCCAGGACATTTTCAAACAGGCGACTGAAGATAGGCTGACAAGTGCCAAGGAGCTGCCGTACTTTGAAGGGGACTTTTGGCCCAATGTGCTGGAAGAGAGCATCAAAGAGCTGGAGCAGGAGGAGGAGGAGAGGAAGAAGGAAGAGAGCACTGCAGCAAGTGAGACCACGGAGGTGAGCTCTCATGCAGTGGGCTCTGGGACCTGGGTGCAGCCCACTCTGGGTGAGCAGAGATGTGAGCTCGGGGCCATCTCGGGCAAGGAGAGAGGATGTGCGTGGCTGTCAGCTACCCGAGACGGGACAGGCAGTGGTCAGGCCAGGTGTGCGTCTCTGCAGACACCCCCCTGCCTCCCCCCAGCCCTGCTCACGCTGGGCCTGTGTTAGTAGGAAGGAGTTCCAAGCGAGTGTCAGGCGGGAGCCAAAGGCCCGATGGAGCCCCTCCTGCCGGCTCCCCCAAAACAGGTGAGGGTGGTCTCAGTCGGGCGGGTAGGTCACTGAGGCAGTGAATGAGAGCACAGTGGATCACTCAGCCCCCCCGTTCCTCCCCAGGGCCGGGGCTGACCTCGCCTCTAGGGGGAGACAGGAGTTCAGGGGGCTCCGGAAAGGAGAGTGCCCACTCAGAGCGGCTGCTGCTGGTGCCGCCCTGGGCTGCGCCCTCGGTGGTGCGGATTCTTTCATGTCACCGGACTGTTGAAGGGTTAAGGGGACGGCCCCACCTGGGTTTCCTGTGCACACCCGTGAGAGGCCCTGAGCCACGGTGGTGTGTGTGGCAGAGCAGCTAGACGGGCACTGCCCAGCACCTGCTTCTCCCCGGGGAGAGGCGGCCTCGGCTCTCGGTTGTTGGTTCTGAGCTGTGTTCTGGTATGTTCTCCCAGAGGTCACATCCCCATAGTTGGCGTGAGATAGGCAGCGCTCACTCGTGTGCGTGAGTCTCCGCCGCCCGCTGGTTCCTGGCCTCGTGTGGGCTCTGCTTCCGAGTTTGCCAACTTCCTGGCGGCTTCCCCATTGGCCCCGCGCTTACCCGGGAAGCCAGGCCCCTCTCAGCTGGTGAGGGGCCTCGGGGCCGGCCTGACCACTCTGTGTGCTGCTGTAGGGCAGCCAGGGAGACAGCAAGAACGCCAAGAAGAAGAACAACAAGAAAACCAACAAGAACAAGAGCAGTATCAGCCGAGCCAACAAGAAGAAGCCCAGCATGCCCAATGTGTCCAACGACTTGTCCCAGAAGCTCTACGCCACCATGGAGAAGCACAAGGAGGTGGGCCCGGGGCCGTGCCGAGCGGGGAGGGCAGGGGCTCGGCCCAGCCCCTGGGCAGCGCTCACCTGGCCCTCCTCCCCCGCAGGTCTTCTTTGTGATCCATCTCCACGCTGGGCCTGTCATCAACACGCTGCCCCCCATCGTCGACCCCGACCCCTTGCTCAGCTGTGACCTCATGGACGGGCGCGACGCCTTCCTCACGCTGGCCCGAGACAAGCACTGGGAGTTCTCGTCCCTGCGCCGCTCCAGATGGTCCACGCTGTGCATGCTTGTGGAGCTGCACACACAGGGCCAGGACCGCTTTGTCTACACCTGCAACGAGTGCAAGCACCACGTGGAGACGCGCTGGCACTGCACCGTGTGCGAGGTGAGCCCCGACTCGAGTGGAACCGCAGGGCTTCCGCTGTGTGTGCCTGGACCCCCCGAGAGAGCATCTGAAGCCGTGCGCGTGAACAGGCGCTGCTCCTCCAGGGAGGGCCAGGACCCTCATGGGAGAGGAGGGAATGGCACGCTGGGTTCTGTTGTCATTTGGCGGGGCAAGTGGCCCCGGGCTTTGCTCAGGAGTCCCCCGGCCGTAGTTGGGCCCTGTTGTTTGTCTTTTGGCTTTGGCTGTTCCTGGTGGCAGCACGTGGGGTCCCGCTGGTGTCAGCCTCTTTCCCCTGTGCTCTCCCCAGCGGGGTCCGGCACCCTGACCCCTGCCCCACGGTCCAGGTGGCGTCTGAAGCAGAGGGGTCCCTACGTCCTCCCTTGCAAGTGAGGCCCATGTGCCCAACACCTTGGGCCTGAGGGTGGCAGGGCAGAGGAGTCTGCACTGCACTGTCCCTTATCCAGGTGGTTTTCAGGAACCGGGGAAGACGAGGCAGTACGTGGGCCCCATGGTTTAAGCCAGGGCCTTCTTCCTGGCGAAGGCCTCAGTGCCGGCTTCTCTGGGCGCCCCCCGAGGGCGCCCAGCAGCAGCCCAGTTAATGGAGGGGGAGCAAGCTCAGATGCAGGCAGGAAGGGGGTCAGTGTCCACTAGTGCCCCTGTGGGCAGGGTCTGAGGGCCAGTCCACGAGCAGTGTGTTTCCGGAGTTGTCCGGGCTGCAGCGTGTCCGGGCGCCCGTGCGGGGCGTGTCCCGGCTGTGCGCTCACATGCGTGTCCCCCTTGGCGTCTGCAGGATTACGATCTCTGCATCAACTGCTACAACACCAAGAGCCACACCCACAAGATGGTGAAGTGGGGCCTGGGCCTGGACGATGAGGGCGGCAGCCAGGGCGAGCCGCAGTCCAAGAGCCCGCAGGAGTCCCGGCGCCTGAGCATCCAGCGCTGCATCCAGTCGCTGGTGCACGCCTGCCAGTGCCGCAACGCCAACTGCTCGCTGCCGTCCTGCCAGAAGATGAAGCGCGTCGTGCAGCACACCAAGGGCTGCAAGCGCAAGACCAATGGCGGCTGCCCGGTGTGCAAGCAGCTCATCGCCCTCTGCTGCTACCATGCCAAACACTGCCAAGAGAACAAGTGCCCCGTGCCCTTCTGCCTCAACATCAAACACAAGCTCCGCCAGCAGCAGATCCAGCACCGCCTGCAGCAGGCCCAGCTCATGCGCCGGCGGATGGCCACCATGAACACCCGCAACGTGCCTCAGCAGAGCCTGCCTTCCCCTACCTCAGCGCCGCCCGGGACCCCCACGCAGCAGCCCAGCACGCCCCAGACGCCACAGCCCCCCACCCAGCCCCAGCCGTCCCCCGTCAGCATGGCCCCGGCCGGCTTCCCCAGCGTGGCCCGGACTCAGCCCCCCACCACGGTGTCCGCTGGGAAGCCCAGCAGCCAGGTGCCCGCCCCGCCGCCCCCCGCCCAGCCCCCTCCAGCCGCGGTGGAGGCGGCCCGGCAGATTGAGCGCGAGGCCCAGCAGCAGCAGCACCTGTACCGGGTGAACATCAACAACGGCATGCCCCCAGGGCGCGCGGGCATGGTGGCCCCCGTGGGCCTGAACGTGCCCCGGCCTGGCCAGGTCAGCGGGCCGGTCATGCCCAACATGCCCCCCGGGCAGTGGCAGCAGGCACCCCTCCCCCAGCAGCAGCCGCTGCCCGGCCTGCCCAGGCCAGTGATGGCCATGCAGACCCAGCCATCAGTGGCCGGGCCCCGGATGTCCAGCGTGCCGCCGCCCAGGAGCATCTCTCCCGGCGCCCTCCAGGACCTGCTGCGGACCCTGAAGTCGCCCAGCTCCCCGCAGCAGCAGCAGCAGGTGCTCAACATCCTCAAGTCCAACCCACAGCTGATGGCAGCTTTCATCAAGCAGCGCACGGCCAAGTACGTGGCCAGCCAGCCCGGCCTGCAGGCCCAGCCCGGCCTCCAGCCCCAGCCGGGCCTGCAGCCCCAGCCGGGCCTGCACCAACAGCCTGGCCTGCAGAACCTGAACGCCATGCAGGCTGGCGGGCCGCGGCCCGGAGTGCCCCCGCAGCAGCAGGCCCTGGGCGGCCTGAACCCCCAGGGCCAGGCCCTGAACATCCTGAACCCCGGGCACAACCCCAGCATGGCGAGCATGAACCCACAGTACAGAGAGATGCTGCGGCGCCAGCTGCTCCAGCAGCAGCAGCAGCAGCAGACACCGCCACCGCCTCCAGGCAGTGCGGGCATGGCCGGGGGCATGGCCGGGGGCATGGCCGGGCACAGCCAGTTCCAGCAGCCCCCGGGACCTGGCGGCTACCCCCCAGCCATGCCGCAGCAGCGGCTGCAGCAGCACCTCCCCATCCAGGGTAGCTCCATGGGGCAGATGGCGGCTCCCATGGCACAGCCAGGGCTGGGCGCTGACAGCGCCCCCAGCATCCAGCAGGCCCTGCAGCAGCGGATTCTGCAGCAGCAGCAGATGAAGCAGCAGATCGGCTCGCCCGGCCAGCCGAACCCCATGAGCCCCCAGCAGCACATGCTCTCAGGACAGCCACAGGCCTCGCACCTCCCCGGCCAGCAGATGGCCACGTCCCTCAGTAGCCAGGTGCGGTCTCCGGCCCCTGTGCAGTCTCCACGGCCCCAGTCCCAGCCTCCACATTCCAGCCCGTCGCCACGGATACAGCCCCAGCCTTCACCACACCACGTCTCGCCCCAGACTGGCTCCCCCCACCCAGGACTTGCCGTCACCATGGCCAGCTCCATAGATCAGGGACACTTGGGGAACCCCGAACAGAGTGCAATGCTCCCACAGCTCAACACCCCCAACAGGAGTGCGCTGTCCAGTGAGCTGTCCCTGGTCGGCGACACCACAGGAGACACCCTAGAAAAGTTCGTGGAGGGCTTGTAGCATTGAGAGCGCGCCGCGGCCCGCGCCGTCCTCGGACCTTTTGTACTGGACCCCGGCGTCTAGGCTCCTTTGTTCCTAGATGGAACTGCTTCTTCCATGCCCCGGAAGGGTCGACCGCTGTTCAAAGAAACAATACAAAGAATATATTTTTTGTTAAAAACCAGTTGATTTAAATATCTGGTCTCTCTCTCTCTCGCTCTTTTTGTTTTTGTTTTTTCGTTTTTGTTTTGGGGGGAGGGGGGTTTTGTTTGGATTCCTTTCACCCTCATTGGTGGTGACTCATGCCTTTTTTTAACGGGAAAAACACGTTCATTATATTCATATTTTTTATTTGTATTTTCAAGACTTTAAACATTTATGTTTAAAAGTGAGAAGAAAAATAATATTCAGAAACTGATCCTGAAATAATGCAAGCTTATAATGTATCCCGGTAACTTTCAGACGTTGCGGGAAGATTCTTTTCTATGGTGAACTCTGTGGGCGTCTCCAAGTACTACCCTGGACGTTAGCATCGGCCCCTGCGCGCACACGCACACACCCACACACACGTCTATCTATACAGACTGGCCGAAGCCAAACTCTTGTCTTGCAGATGTAGAATTTGTTGCTTTGTTTCTCCGATAAAACTGGTTTTAGACAAAAAAATAGGGCTGATCACACTCTCTTAGACCATGCTGATGTTACTAGAGGAAAGGCGTTCTTTCTATTCTTCCATGTGAAACTTGAAATGAGGAAAAGCAATTCTAGTGTAAATCATGCAAGCGCTATAATTACTATAAATAAGAAAATTCAAGGAGATTCAATCACTGTATAGAATGGTAAAGTACCAACTCATTTCTTATATCATATTGTTAAATAAACTGTGTGCAACAGACAAAGGGTGGTCCTTGAATTCATCTACATGGTGTTAACACTTCGTGTTGGGGGGTTTTTGTTATGAAAATGGCTGTTTTCAACATTGTATTTGGACTATGCATGTGTTTTTTTCCCCATTGTATATAAAGTATCGCTTAAAATTGATATAAATTACTGAAGTTTTTAACATGTATTCTGTTCTTTAAGATCCCTGTAAGAATGTTTTAAGGTTTTTATTTATTTATATATATTTTTTGAGTCTGTTCTTTGTAAGACATGATTCTGGTTGTTTGCTCGCAGAGGAGCGCCGGGGGCCGTGGTCCTGGTTGGCCGGGCGGGGTCCGCTGGGTTCCAGCAGAGTCCAGAATGTTCTTTCTCCAGCAGCGGAGCTCCTGGGCTCAGTGTGGTGGCCACACGCTCGGGGGCTCACAAGGGGACTTGCCCTGAGTCGGGCGCCCGTGGGGCAGCAGAGCACTTTGTCTCTGTGTGCTGCCTGCCGCGGTGTGCAGAGGTGCTTAAGTCCCAAGAGCAAGTGCCGCAGGGAACTGGTGTCAGCAGCCCTACCCTGGAGGCCGCTGTGGGAACGCTTGCACAGAGCCCACAGCCCACCTCTCTGTGGGTGCAGTTTCACGAGCCCTCTCTGGCCAGGTGGCACCTGCGTTCCGGAATGCTGCCGAAGTCCTCAGTGAGCCCCAATGGGTCCCCACGGTGGGTCCAGCCCAGGAGTCCTTGTCTGCCGCAGTCTCCGACGGTTTCCCAGCTTGACCCACAGATGGGAGAAAGTCATAAGCCGCCGCGCTCATCGGGGGTAAGTTTGGAAATGAGGTCCCAAACAGCAGCTGCCTGCCTGAGCCCCGTGCTGTTACCTGTCATCTAAGTGTGCGGGGCCCTAGATTGCCAAGGACTTAATCGGAGCCCAGAGCTTTGTCTCAGGCCCGGGAACCAGATGAATTCAAGCCAGGTAAGAGGAAGACCACCGTGTAGCACCACCCCAAGGGCATGCAAAACCTGTCCCCGCAGTGGCCCTTGGCCGTCTCGGCGGTTTGCTGACCTCCACCATACATCCAGACCCTCTTGTGAATCGCCTCCAACGATGGGAAGCGAGTGTCCAGGAAGAAGGGGCGCTGGCTGGCGGGGCCCCTGGCGGAGCAGCTTGAGCCCACCCAGCCAAGGTGCAGCCTCTCCTGGGTCACCCCGGAACCCCACACTACCGGCCTTAACCTCTTGGCATCCGAGGTCTGTGCCATCCAGATGTCCGAAGGTGCAGTCTGGTTGCCAACCCTATGCTGGGCATAGGAAGTTTCTGTAAGGGAGCGGGAAAGCCCCCACTCGTGTCCCCTGCTCTGTACCTAGAGGAGAAGAAAGCCCTAGATTTGTGATCGAAAGGGGGAACTTTGAAATGTACTGGTGTTTATAATAAAAACTGGTAAAACTGCTTGGATTTGAGGATGGTTCCAATTGGCTACTGACCCTCGGAATTAGCCTAGCTGCCAGGGATGAGACTAAAGATGGCAGCTGAGTTTGTCTTGTGCGTGTTTTCGAGGTCGTTGAAAACGGGAATAGGGAGCCAAGAGATGATACCAGGGGTTAAGGTGCTTGCCTTGCATTCTGCCAACCCCAGTTCAGTTCCCTGGCGCCACATGGTCCCCAACGGACTGCTGGTGTGGCCTCCAAACCCAAAATAAAAACATTTGGGGGGTTGGAGAAATGGTACAGTGGCTAGGACGATTGCCTTGCATGTGGCTGACCCCAGGGTTCAATCCCCGGCACCCCATAGGGTTCCCTGAGCACAGCCAAAAAACAGAGAGGCCCGGCCAATAGTACAGTGGTAGGGTGTTTGCCTTGCACATGGATGACCCGGGTTCAATCCCAGGCACCCCATAGAGTCCCCTGAACACAGCCAGGTAGTTCCTGACTCAAAAAGGGAAAACCTGAATAGAATGATGTGCCTGAGTAACAGAAGGGGCCGTCAGCTTTCTACCTCAGGCTGAGTGGGCAGCTGGTAACTCGCTCGCAGTGGTTAGGTCCCTGCTCAATGCTGCAGAACAGGAAATTGCTGAGTGCTGGTTAGTGGCCAGCGTGCCACCAGGACGTACTCAGAAACATTGAGGGTGTGGGAATGAGGAGTGCCCTCCTGAGGCCCCGAAGCTAGAGTCCACACTCTGGGATGTCCTGGGCTGTCTTGCTTGGGAATAACTTGTGCGAAGCCAAGGGAAGGGAAAGAGTTAAATGAAGCCAGAGAGAGCTCAACTGGTGGAGGGCACAGTTTTCGTGGGAGAGGTCCGGGTGCTGTGCTGGGAGTGGCCCCCAAAACGAAACAGTGAATTGAAGACTCCAGGCCCACACAGGCCAGTACAGTTTTCCAGGGCAGATCTGGCAGGGCCAGAGGGACTCCCAGGGAGCCGAGACCGGGCCTGGGGCAGAGTCCAGGAGGGCTTGAGCCTCAGCAGGAGGGAGCATCACGCAGATAGATGCCGCCAGCTAATTCCCGCAGTAAGTTCCTGGCACCCGTGGATTCTTAGGGAAAATACAGAGGACACCCCGGAGAGGCCGTGAGGGTCATGTCCGGGCTCCCTGCACTGTCCATGCCTAGGTTTATAGCCAGACAGGGACGGAGACTCCTTGCCCTGGGGGCGGGGGGAGGAGCGGGGCAGAGGGGTATCACCAAACACGGCGGCAGAACTCCACGGGAACGGCCCCACAGCCAGCCCATGTCACCAGTGAGCACAGGGATGGTCCAGCCTTCCGGGAACATCGTCACTGATCCACCCCACCTAGATGCGAGTTCCGAGCTCTGCCTGCCTGGCCCAGCTGAAGGGCCTTCACTGTGAGGGGCTACGAAGAAGCAGGGGGGCAGAGAGTGCTGAGGGCCGGGACGTGTCTGCAGCCGGGCACCGGATTTGGCCCCTGAGCAGGGGCTCCCTCCAAACATCCACCTACGTTTCCGTTTGGTAAGAGCAGCTCGGAGCCAGAGTAGTGGTTCAGACACTTACCTTGCACCGCAGCCGTGTTCGATCCCTGGCACCACGTGGTCTCCAGCATCAGGGGCTGTCACCCTGCAGCCCCCTGGCACTGCCAGGGCGGCCCGGGTAAACCCAGCATCTCGGCCCGAGCACTGGGAATCCCAGAGAATCACCATGGGGGGGTCCTGAACCCCTTCTGGGAGTTGGAGGGGCACCTGCAGGAGGAGCAGCTTCCTGGCAAGCACTGGCCACATATGACCAAGCGGTCGGCTCAGCCCTTGAAGGGCCCAACAGGTAAGTGGAGGCAGGTGCTAGATGGGACTGGCCCGAGCTGGGCAGTGAAGCAGTTGCTCCAGCTGCCAGCAAGTGGCAGGTCTCTGAGGGCAGCAGGAGGGGACAGTACCCTAAGGCAGTCAAGCCAGCCAAGAGGGCAGAGCCCTGCCAGGTGAGAAGACAGAGCCACGGGTGCCCGACAAGGCAGCCAGTGATAGCACCAGCTTTGTCCTAACTGATCTGCAGCGCGACCTTCACCCACAAGGGGCCATGGGGGCCACGGAGAAAAGGCCAAGACGCCCCCTGCATCTGCAGCGCTGCCTGGGAGCTGCTCTCGACATCTCATTCTTTGATTTTGGGGGTAGCCCAAACTGGCAGGGCTCAGGGGACCCTATGCAGTGCCGGGCTGGAACCCGGAGTCGGGCTCGGACAAGCCAGCACCTCACTGTCTCGTCTCTTTGGCGCCATCTTTTAATGTCACCAAGTCAGCTGCCTTGTAAAAAAAAAAAACCTGGGCATTGAGCTGGGCGTCTCACTAGCTCCAGGGCCTCGCTCGGTCCCTTAGGCCACAAGCCTTTCTCCTCTGCACGAAGGGGGGAAGCTCACACCCCAGAACACGGCACTGTGCGCAGAGATGAAGCGCGGAGAAGCAACCGAACTGGGGGATTCTCCAGTCAACATTCTGTGCTCATTTGTTTTGGGGCCACCCGGCGGTGCCCAGGTGTTACTCCTGGCTCTGCTCTCAGGAATGACTTCTGGCCATGGCCATATGGGGTGCCAGGCACCAAACCCAGGTTAGCCGCTTGCAAAGAAAGCGCCCTACCCACTGTATGATCTCTCCTGCCCAACATTTGGTTTTAATTGTGCCATACCCCCCAAGCTTGAGCCTCATCCAATGTTGCATTTGTCCAATGAAACGGCGACCCTCACCCATCAGCCAGTCCTAGCCCCGGGGAGCTATTCTGTTGCCACCTGTGTCCTGACACATGACATCAAAGCATGACTGTCTACCTTCCCGAGCCCAGGACTCAGGCTTCCCGGCCACAGGGTGACAGGCGCCAGAGCTTCCGTGCTCAGCCAGAAGCCAGGGTGCCAGCCAGCCTGCCTGTGCACCCATCCCTCCCGGGGCTGCTTCTGGCTGTTGTGAACCTGCTGCAGGCCCTGGTCACAGCCCCACTCACTCCATGGGAAGGCAGTCACTTCTGGAAAAGAAATGTCAGCTTACGAGTGGCCGTGTGATGGTGCGAGGAGTGGGGGGAGATGTCACCTTCTCTCGCCTCTTCTCTGCTTCCCCCAAGCAATTCCCTCCATCAGGACCATCCAGGTCCATCTGCATCACTCACTATATTGTGTGCGGACAGAATGGAACATCGTCACAGCCCCTCACATCCCAGCATGTGCCCATGCATCCCAGATGCAGCTGAGGTGGCTTCTACGGATGCCACAGACCAAGAGAGGACAGAAGACCCAGGCTTCTGCTCCCCAAAGAGCAAACTTGTCAGGTAGAGGCCCATACCCTTAACTGAAACCAAGATTCCCTGCTTCCCTTTACCAAATTCTCCTTTCCGAGAGAGATTCCCCAGTGCAGGTCTATTGGCCCATAGACCAGTGTGCTAAGTCTTTGAGACAATCTCCTAGAGGAACTTGAATGCAATGTATGTCCCTCCCCCTACACACACACACACACACACACACACACACACACACACACACACAGGGCAGAGGCTCCTCAATTCTCCCAGAATTTGCAGTGTGCTAAGTCTTTGAGACAATCTCCTAGAGGAACTTGAATGCAATGTATGTCCCTCCCCCTACACACACACACACACACACACACACACACACACACACACACACACACCAGGGCAGAGGCTCCTCAATTCTCCCAGAATTTGCAGTTATTTGGACAGGCAGTTTCAAGCTCCCTCTGCCTGAGGTGCAGGCGAGGGGAAAGGCGGGGGGGCCAAGTGACACATGCCTGGAAGCCAGCGCGTGTGTGTGTGTGCAGTGTCCAGGTGACGCGGGCTCCCTTGCTTTCCTGCAGTGGTTGAAGCCAGCCTGTGTGTGTGTGTGTGTGTGTGTGTGTGTGTGTGTGTGTGTGTGTGTGTGGGGAAAAGCAGGGGGCCAAGTGACACATGCCTGGAAGCCAGCGTGTGTGTGTGTGAGTGTGTGTGTGTGTGTGTGTGTGTGTGTGTATGTGACTGGAGCCATCCTTGATACCTTCTTGTCTAGCACTGCTCCCTGCCACCCCAATCTCGCATCCCTGCAGTGTCCAGGTGACGCGGGCTCCCTTGCTTTCCTGCAGTGGTTGAAGCCAGCGTGTGTGTGTGTGTGTGTGTGTGTGTGTGTGTGTGTGTGTGAGAGACTGGAGCCATCCTTGATACCTTCTTGTCTAGCCAGCGTGTGTGTGTCTGTGTGTGTGTGTGTGTCTGTGTGTGTGTGTGTGTTTGTGTGTGTGTGTGAGACTGGAGCCATCCTTGATACCTTCTTGTCTAGCCAGCGTGTGTGTGTGTGTGTGTGTGTGTGTGTGTGTGTGTCTGTGTGTCACTGGAGCCATCCTTGATACCTTCCTGATACTGTATCCTTGATACAGTCTAGCACTGCTCCCTGCCGCCCCAATCGCATCCCCGCAGTGTCCAGGTGACGCGGGCTCCCTTGCTTTCCTGCAGTGGTTGCCACGATCTCAAGCGAGCGATTTTTGTACATTTTTGGATGGTGGCAACGAGCCCTCGGAATCACCCGGGGAGCTCGCGGGGCGAGCCTGGGAACCTGCATTTCGCCGAGCAGCGGATTTGGGGAAGGGAGGTCTTGTCCCCTAACTAGCTCTCACCCCGGGCGGGCGGGAGCCCCAGCAGTGTTCGTGGAAAGGAACGCGGTTTGCCTGCCGGGGGAGGCTCCGAGCTGGCGTTCAGGAGTCTGGAGTCCGGGGACCACCGGCCGGATCCGGCTGCAAGGGAAGGACTCGCACTCGGTGGCCGGGTCACGGCGTCCCGGGACCCCCGAGTTCATCTCTGGGGCCGCACCGCTCCGCACACCCGCGACGGCGCGGCGAACTCCGGCCCTCGGTCGGGGACACGCCGGCCGGGTGCTCGGCGCCGGCGGTCGCCCTTGACAACGCGACCCAAGGTCACAGAGGTGCGGCCCCGAGCCCGAGGGCCCCAGCGCCCGTGCAGGCAGCGGCCCGGGCAGCCCCGCGCGCGCCGTGACGTCATCGCGCCGCGCCCGAGGAAGGCAAGCCCCGGCCCCGCCCCCGCGCGCCGCGCTGCGCCCGGGCGCTCGGACGGCGGACATGGCGCGGGAGTTGCGGGCGCTGCTGCCGTGGGGCCGCCACCTGCGGGGCCTGCTGCGGGCGCCCGCGGGCGCCGCGGGAGGTGAGGGCGGCCCGGGGCGCGCGGAGGGGCGTGCGAGGGGCGCGGCGGGCGGGTCCCGGGTGGCCCAGGAGCGCCCGAAGCTGCGCGCGCTCGTGCCCGCCCGTCGTGCCCGGCCGGGTGGCGGTTCCGCGGCTCCGCGGAGCAAGCGCCGCCAGGAGTAACGTTCCGGGTGCCCGGGGTCGATTTGGGGTGGGGGTGTCTTGCACTTCATGAGGTCCCGCAGGGCGCGCGCCCACCCGGTCGGCCGCCGCGTGCCGGGCAAGCGGGGCGAGGCCGGTGGCTGGAAAGCACCGCGCCGCACGGAGGCGGCAGCCGACTTTGATCGCTGTTGCCACGGCCGCTGTTTTTCTCCTTTGATTGATCAGAGACTGTCCTGTGCTCGTTTCCTCTTATTAGTTTTTCGTTTTGTTTGGGGGCTTGCTCCTGGCTCTGCGCTCAGGGATCGTTCCTGGGGAGCTCCGGGGACCTTCTGGAGCGCACGGCAGACGCCCTGCCACGGTCTCTCCCGCGGGCATATCCTGTGCTCATTCCCTAAGTTACACCACTACTGAAGACTTGGTTCTTTATTTATTTATTTATTTATTTATTTTGGGCTACACCCGGCGTTGCTGAGGGTTGCTCCGGGTTGTGCAGTCAAGGATGACACCTGATGGTGCTCTGGGGACCATACCGGGTGCCAGGGAGCAAACCTTCGTGGGGCATGCAAAGCAAGCGCCCTGCCCGCTGTTCTGTCTCTCCAGCCCCCAGGTTCTAAGGGGTTCTGACTGTATATTTTGTGGACCAGATTCTGTCGCTTCCATTGTGAAGATACAGTGCCTCCCTTTTTTCTAGCTGAGGGACCTTTTGTTCTCTCTGTTCTCTTGCAGCTTCATTGCAGAACTTCATTCTCTTGCTTGAATCTAAGCAGTGAATCCTGTTCCTGGGCGCTTTCTACATTTCAAATGTCCTTAACATTCTCCCTGTATAAGATTAGTGTGAGGGACAGTTTGGATTAATTGAATGAAGGGTGAATTTATCTGATCCTGGTTCAGCTCCTGTTACTGCTCTGGTCCCCGTACACTGCCAGGTGGGGCCCCAAAACCTACCCCAAACAACACAGTGTAAGTCTGTAGGAGGAGGGAAGGAAGAAAAAGAACGTGACTGTAGGAGAATTCATTCACTAATGAAGAAAATTCAACATTTTGTTCAGTATCTTCCTTTTCCTAACAGAGTTTTATTTTTATTTTTTGTTTTTTTTTTTTTTTTGCTTTTTTGGGGTCACACCCAGCGATGCACAAGGGTTACTCCTTGCACATGCACTCAGGAATTACTCCCGGCAGTGCTTGGGGGGACCATATGGGATGCTGGGAATTGAACCCGGGTTGGCCGCGTGCAAGGCAAATGCCCTATCCACTGTGCTGTTGTTCCAGGTCTTCACATCTAGGTAGGACTTTGACCTTGTCATGCTGCTGCCTCTGCGCTAGAAGTCTCTGTGACGTGAGATGGTCGGCCTGACTTTGTCTCTGCAGCAGAGACACTGAATGATGAAACATTCAGAGATGAGGGACACTCCTGTCTGGGGCCAGGGGCAGTGGAAGCTTGCGTCATAGCAGAGGTTACCGGCATATTGCGGAATGGGATTGAAGTTTTGTAGAGGAGTACATGGACGAGCAAACCTCCAGGTGTAGGAGGTTAATTTATTTTGACAAGAAACAAGGGGAATGTGAGTGAGGGTAAATTGGGCTCGCTGTTCAGTCCTGTTAGACAGGGCTTGTGTGGAGGGAGTGCTTACTCTATTTGTTCTTTATTTGGGGGCCATATCTGGTGGTGCTCAGGGCTTATGCCTGACTCTGCTCAGGATAACTCCTGGCAGGGCTCAGGAAACTGTAGAGGGTGCCAGGGCTCGAACTCGAGTCAGTTGGGTGCAAGGCAAGTGCCCGCTCGCCTCTGTACACTCTGGCCGCCTCTGTGCTAAGCGGTGCCGTTGACTTACCTTGAATGTGGTGGAAAGAAGCCCTAGTTGGAGACAGAAGTCTGAATGTTCCTCTCATAAACGTTGTCTTTTGGACAGTGGCTTTTCCTGACCCTGTGCTCGGGTCATGCCTGGCAAGGACCTGGGGACGATGTGTAGATGGGTAGAAACCAGGTTGGCTGTGCAGGGAAGCACCTTCCCCGCCCCACCATCTCCAGCACGGACATTAGAGCTTGAAAAAACATATTCTTGGGGCTGGAGGTATATATGTGTCTGTGCGTGCATATATACACTATACGTAAGAATAAAAAATATATGTGTATATTATTTTTAATAAGCGAGAGGAGTTCAAAACAAGGAAAATTAACCTTGGGAAAGCTCTTGAGAAAATCTGAATTTTCTCTTTAAGTCCGTGTTCTCCTTTGAACAAGCATCTCGCTTGTTTGCCTTTTAGTTTCTTTGCCTGTCTCTGCTCTGAGGAGCCTGGGTTCTCTCGTGAACATGTATTTCTTGCTCTCTTTCTTCACATCTTCCTTTTATTTTTGTTTGTTTGTTTGTGTTTTGGGCCATGTGACAATGCTCAGGGGTTACTCCTGGCTCTGCATTCAGGACTTACTCCCTGTGGTGCTCAGGGGACCATAGGGGATGCCGGAGGTTGAACCCAGATCAGCTGCGTGCAAAGCAAGCACCCTACCTGCTGTGCTAGTTGTCCAGCCTTTTCTCTCACATCTTTCTAAATAAGTTTAAATAAATTAAAACTACCTGTTCACTCCCTCCCACCCCACACAAAAAAGTGTTTGATCTTGCAGTGAAGAGACCCTCAGAAACAAAAAACTGATTTTTTTAAAAAGTTCTTACAAATCATAACGGAAAGAGGATCACAGGAATTTAACAGTTTATTCAAAAGTTAAATGGAAAGGCCTGCGGGGTGCGGGGAGGTCCCACACCTTGAAAGTGTTAGGGACCACATCTGGCAGTGCCTGGGGGACCTTGTGTGGTGCGCGGGTTTGAACCAGGGCACCACGTGTGAGGCAGATGCTGTAATTAACTTGTATGCTAGCCCTCAGGGCCTGAAATAAAAATACTTTAAAATAAGAATAAATATTTGATCTGAATGTTTGTCATCACAGAAATATAATTTAAATTACAGTAAAATTTTCACTTGACCAGTAGGCCTATACCCAAAAGCCCCCTGAGAACACAGGCTGGCAGGGGTGTCCCTGGGGATCAGACCGTGCTCTCTGAGGGCACGTGCCGGCACCCAGCACACGGAACTCGGACATGACCTTGAACCTGGTGCTGCCCCATTAGCAGCTGCTAGCCCATAAACTCATGTGAGATAAATGACAGTCATCCGTCCAGCTCATTGAAATACGGTTTGGATTCCCTATGCCAGTGTTATCAGCGGGACCCAGTACTTAGGGTCCCTTGTTAAAGTTTATTTGGTTTATGGGCTACCCCTTGCTGTGCTCAGGGATCATTCCTGGCCATGCTTGGGGACCTTGTGCAGTGCCGAAATCAAACCCATTTGGCTGCATGCTGGGCTGGAGCCCTGAGCGCTCAGCTTCCCCACCCGCCAGCCGCTAGCAGCTGGGCTTCTTCGTGCACTGATTTGGAAAAACTGACAGCTTGGTGTTTCCCCATCACCTGCCATCACAGAAAAGAATCTGAGGAGATGGATAGTAAAATCATTTTATTAAAGAGTTGTGAGAAGAGAGTGTGGCACATGCCTGTAGAACTGTGTGTGGGCCGGAGACTTGGGGTTAAGTGTTCGCCTTCCGGGTGGCTGGCACAGTGTCCCCCAAGCATCGGCAAGAGTGATCCCTGAGCACAGAGCCAAGAGTAAGCGCTGAACACCGGTATGATCCCAGAGCCCCTCACAGCCCCTCACCCACATCCAAAGAAAGAGAATGTGGCTTCAGTAGAGAGGGGAAGATGAAGGACACCCTAAGTGTGATGGGGCCACACCTGGCGGTGCTAGTGGCTCTTCCTGGCTCTGGGGTCCAGGTGGGGTTGGCTGCCTGGACAGTGAGTTTCTTAAATCGCACTACTGTCTGTCTGACGGCCCCTCAGTGCGGATTCTTGAAATGATTTGGGTAACTTCTGGAATATTCATGGTCAAGAAGTCTTTTTGGGGGGCCACACCCAGCAGTGCTTGGAGTTACTCCTGGCTCTGCTCTTGACAGTCACTCCATATGGTGTGCCGGGGATTGAACTTGGGTGCTCTGCGCGCAAGGCAAGTGCCTCGTCACACCCGGTTATGCTTAGGGCTTACTCCTGGCTCTGCATCAGGAATTACTCCTGGTGGTGCTCGGGGGACCACATGGGATGCTGGGACTCAAACGTAGGTCGGCTGCGTGCAAGGCAAACGCCCTCCCTGCTGTGCTCCAGCCCCAGTTAGGAATTTCGATCCCTCGGCCTTCTCCATTCTGAAGAAGCCCATATTCTTCCTTGAGCACATAACTCTCCTCTCCCTTCACATCTCCCTACATTTCTTTCAACTTTTCTCCACTTTAATGCGTTTTCTCCATTTCCCCTTGATTTTGCACAGTAGAACGTTTGGCCTTCTCGCTCTCGGCTTCCCAAGGAGTTCAAGTGTATCAAGGGGGGTTGCCTGGGCTGGGGGGCATGTGGGAATCGTTCTCTGAGACATGACGTCTGTGAGATGTCAGCAAAACTACAGGCAGTGCCCTGCTGTGTCCTCAGTCTCGGGGTGACGAGGGCTCGGATTCTCGCGGGTCTCACGAAGACTCTTGCTCACATTTGCAGGAAATCCGGCGCTTCGGCTCCGGCAGGCCACGGTGCAGTGTGGGGGCTGCAGGCTGACCCTGGCCTCGAGCTTCCAGGTGGGCCGGACGTTCAGCTCGCAGGCGGCAGAGGACCGGAAGGAGGAGCCCCTGCACTCCATCATCAGCAGCACCGAGAGCGTGCAGGGTACGGCCTGGGTAGAGCCCCTCTCCACCCCCTCCCCAGGGGAAGGGACAAGGGACAGAGGTCTCCCAGAACAATGCCCCCCTGCCTGCCTGGCTGCCTGAACTCCACCGCCAGCCTGCGGTGCCTCTTGCCCCCTCTGGTGGCCGCTGACGGCAGCGCCGCCCCCGCGATGACTCAGAGCACATCTGCTTGCAATCAGGGGCAGCCGGCAACGCGGAGCTGCTGGCCAGGCCGGTTCGGAGCGGGCCTCCCCTTCCCCGGCAGGCTCCGGCGCGGCTGCAGAGCCCGTCCGCAAGGAGGTCCACTTCTGGCTTTCAGAGCCGACCGCGGAATCCTTGAGGTTTGGGTAAAGGGGAACAGAAGCCAGTTGCCTTTTGGGTTTGGTTTTTTGTTGTTGTTTTTCCCCTAAGTAAATACTTCGGAAACTGCTGTTTTTAAGGCTGGCTTCCAGGCTCGGCTTGTCACGCGCGGGCTCTGTGGAAATGCTGACCCTGTGGGCCACGGGGAGCATGAGCCGCCTGGGAGTGGGGACGCCTGATTGGGTGTCGAGATTTCCTCTCTGAGCCCAGAGACCTTTTTCCCTCCGTTGTTCTGACGCGTGTCTGAGAGTCTCGTGTGTTCTTCCACGGAGGCGGAAGCCAAACTTGGTCGGTTGTGCCTCTGATTCCTTACCAGGGTCCATTTCTAAGCACGAGTTCCAGGCTGAGACGAAGAAGCTTCTGGACATCGTAGCCCGGTCTCTGTACTCGGAGAAAGAGGTGCAGCACCCATTCCTCGCCCCTGGGCCAGGAGGCTGGCTTGTGGTGGTGGTGTTGTTTTTATGCTGTTTTGGGGGAAGTAGGGAGTATGTTCTCCCTGGACGCTGGACCCTGTCCGCCATGGAGGGGTTGCACCCCAAAGTAGGGGTGGGTGATCGTGGATTCACATTCAGAGGATTGGGGGACCAGGGGGGCCTAGAGTGAATAACTGTTGTTGATCACTAGTTCCGACTCCTTGGCCTCCTCCTCCGCTGTGAGTCAGAGGCCCGTGCCCAGCGGTGAGTCTCATCCCAGAGTCAGCCGGGAGTAGTGTGGGGGTGTCGGCGCCCATGCAGAGTGGAGCAGAGAGCGCTGCTTGCGGGGAGGTGGTGCACCCACCTCACCCTGACAGATTGGAACCCAGCTCTGGTGCCTTCTCCCCAGACTTCGAGCGACCGTGCCACGGTGCTCCCGTCTCTCTCTGCTGCAGGTGTTCATTCGGGAGCTGGTCTCCAATGCCAGCGACGCCTTGGAGAAGCTGCGGCACCAGCTGGTGTCCGCAGGCCAGACGCTGCCGGAAATGGAGATTCATCTCCAGACCGATTCTGAGAAGGGCACCATCACCATCCAGGTACAGCCCCAGCCCTGCCTCTGGCCGTGAGCTGGCTGCCTGAGTCTGCCTGCATTTCTCCGGCGGGAAGCGTGCCTCAGGTGGCGGGACCTGCCCTCAGCCTGGCGCGTCTGAATGTTCTGCTGCTTGCTGGTGGCGCATCATTGCTTCCTCTTGTGTGTCTGAAATGTCTGTTTCTGTGCAAAATATATAAAAGGCCCACCCGTTGATCGTCGATTTGCTCGAGCGGGCCCAGTAACGTCTCCATTGGAGACTTTGTTGTTACTGTGTCTGGCATATCGAATACTCTCGGTAGCTTGCCGGGCTCTCCGAGAGGGGCGGAGGAATCGAACTTGGGTCGGCCATGTTGGCCGCTTGTAAGGCGAACGCCCTACCTGCTGTGCTATCGCTCCAGCCCTGCAATATATATATATATATATATTTATTTATTTATTTTTTTTGCAAAATATATATATATATTTTTGCTTTTTGGGTCACACCCGGCGATGCACAGGGGTTACTCCTGGCTCTGCACTCAGGAATCACCCCTGGTGGTGCTCAGGCGACCATATGGGATGCTGGGAATCGAACCCGGGTCGGCTGCATGCAAGGCAAACACCCTACCCGCTGTGCTATCTCTCCAGCCCTGTGCAAAATATTTTGGTCAGGTGTTTTTGGGTGTAGCTAGGTGGAAGCATTCTGAACATATTCTCCATAGAATCTTTTTTTCCCAGTCTATGGTTTACCATATTTGGGGGGTTCGGGCCACTCCCGGGCTGTTGGGGCTCGGTCCTGGGTCAGCCGTGTGCAAGGTGGTGCCTTCTGTGCATGTCCCCCTGCCCCCGCCTGACCTCTCCTGTCTGCTGGCAGCCTTGGGAAAGCAAAGGCTCTGAGGCCCGCTTGCTTCTTGTACCCACTTTTGTCTTCTTCCTGCTCATGCTCGCCTGAGGCGACTTCTGCAGGTCGCCAAGCCCGAGGTGTCTTCCTCTGGGCCAGGGTTCCTAGGCCAGCCAGGCAGGGGCTGCATCCTCTGATTTTCTCCCCACAAATCACCTTGGCCTTTGTCCAGAGTTCGTTGGCGGTGCAGCTGTCCTCGACGCTCACCTCGGCTATGTCCTCCAGGGGGCTTCTCTGGAGGTCCGGCCAGAGGACAAGGTGACATGAGCCATTCACAGCCCAGCCAACCCAACATCTCCCTTCCCCGGGTGTCTGCGCTGTGGCACTCAGTACATCTCTGTCCCCAGGACACCGGCATCGGGATGACCCAGGAGGAGTTGGTGTCCAACCTGGGAACCATCGCCCGGTCAGGGTCAAAGGTGAGCACCCCTGCCCATGTTGCGGGTGTATGGCCCCATGGGGAGGTATCCCAGCGTGATTTCTGGGGTCGCTCTGAGGCTCTGGTGCAGCAGGCCGAGCTGGCTGGGGGGGGTCATAGCCCGGCTTCTGAGTCCCTCTGCCTCAGGCGCTTAGCCCAGGGCCCCATGGAATGGTGCGTTGGGGCAGTTAGTGGCCGTGTCTGCCCCGGGCCACGTGGGCTGCAGACACTCCTTTCGCGTTTTTGTGGGCCTGCGCAGGGGAGCAGATGGCCTTTCTCCTGGAGAGAGCTGCCTCGCCAACACGCGCTGTGCCCAGCCAGCTGCGCTCCCTCCGGGAGAGGCACTCAGCCAGCCGGCCTCTTGGAGTTGAGCTCTTAAGGCCAGTTTGGCGTGTCACTGCCGGAGTGCACTGACCAAGCCCTCAGGAACGTCTGTTGGAGAACACGGCCACGCATGTGCATTTTACTGCATTGTTCCATCTGGGAACCTTGGCAGCCAAGTCCCAAGATCTTAGTGCCTTGCAGTGTCCTAGACGAGGGTGTTTCCCCTGAGTGTGGCATCTGGAGATGTGCACAACACATGGGGGCTCGCCCTCCCCCACTGACCCGGGCTGTGTCCCTCCGCCAGCAGGGCCTCGCTCTATGCTGCTCCCCCGCGAGGGTCTCTGGGCAGGGGGCTTCAGTGCCTCAGTGTTGCTCGTGGAGGAGAGGGGCCGAGGGAGGTCCCCCGTGCTGGCACCCTGAAGGGTGAGCACAGCAGCCAGTGGGCTGCACCCCCTGACTGGCCTGTCCACCACAGGCCTTTCTGGACGCGCTGCAGAACCAGGCGGAGGCCAGCAGCAAGATCATCGGCCAGTTCGGCGTGGGCTTCTATTCGGCCTTCATGGTGGCCGACAGTGTCGAGGTGTACACCCGCTCGGCGGCACCCAGCAGCCCTGGCTACCGCTGGCTCTCGGACGGGTGAGCGAGGCAGCGTGGCGGGGACTGAGATCGCACTTAGAAGGGTGGCAGCATTGGGGGCTCCTGTTTCTCGTTTGTTTTTGTGTTGCCGTTGGACCCACCGAGGCTCTCCCAGCAGTGCTCGGGAATCCCGGGCCGCTCATTCCTGGCGGTGCTTGGGGGACTATGGGGTGCCAGGGACAGAACCCAAGTCACCCACGTGCAAGGCAGGCGCCCTCCCCGCTGACCTGTTGCTCTGACCCGCCCGCGTATATTTTGCACAAAGCCCGAAGTCTGCGCTCGGGAACCCAGCTTCTCTCTGGGCCCAACAGGGATGCTGCTCGCTTCCCACCCCAGCTGCCCACCTCTGTTTGTGAGGGGGCTGCCCCCGGTGGCCCCAGCAGGGCACAGACGGTGAGGGCACGTCCCCAGGGGCTGATGGCCCCCAGAGTCCCAGGAATGGGGCCTTCACATGGGCGAAAGTATTGGGTTCATGCGCCAAGCGCCCACACTGCGGCAGCCTCGATCCCCACCGTCCTGACCACGGACACCTTTCTCAGTGCTTGCCGTCGCTGCTTGTGGCACTTCCTCTCTGCCCTGTCTCCTTAGCTCTGGGGTATTTGAGATCTCGGAAGCCTCCGGCGTTCGACCTGGGACCAAAATCATCATCCACCTCAAGGCCGACAACAGGGAGTTCGCCAGCGAGGCCCGAGTTCGAGGTAAGGGGAGCCCGAGCCAGGTGTGGGAGTGCCTGCGTGCATGCATGTGCATGCCTGTATGTGCGTGCGTGTGCACATGTGTGTGTGCGCCTGGGCACCAGGAGCTCTGTCGTGGCCACGCCCGTGATGCTGGTGTCCTGGGCGCCAGGAGCTGTGTCTCGGGGGCTCCCCGGGTGGGACTCCCAGTGAAGCCGTCATCCACTTGGGGTTCCTTGGTCCTTTTCACCTCTTGCCCATGGGGCAGGTGCTGGCAGCCCTGGAGCCCCCGGAAGCTGGCCCGTATGAGCAGTGGTTCCTCTGGGCCTCTGGCCGAGAGCTTCCCGAGGGCGCCACGCGTGTCCGTCTTGGCAGCTGATGCATGAGACCGGTTGACGGTGCAGGCTCTGCGTGCTTCCAGGGCAGGGTCCTGCTCACCCCCAGGTCTCCAGGGAGAGACTCTTCTGCCCTCACGGATGCGATCTGCTTCTCTTCCAGACGTGGTGACCAAGTACAGTAACTTTGTCAGCTTCCCCCTGTACCTCAACGGGAGGCGTCTTAATACCTTGCAGGTGAGACCGAGCTGCTGACACACGGGGGCGGCCTCAGGGACCCGCAGGCTGGAGGAGGTGGGGCTGGGTCAGGCTGGCACAGTCCCAGATGAGGTGTCTGTGTGGTCGGGGCGCCACACTTGGCATTGCTTAAGGGGTCGTGCGGGCTGCGCATTAAACCCAGGGTGTGCCATAGTCTTTGCACTGTCTCCCCTGCTCTGGGCCTCATTCCTTGTCAGCCCCTCATGGGCATCTTCCTGCTCAGAGTCTGTCGGGGGCCTTTGCCTGGCCCCCATGTGTGCTGGAGGGTGGACTTTGACCCTGTCACCCTGTTCCAGGCCGTCTGGATGATGGACCCCAAGGACGTGGGTGAGGGCCAACACGAGGAGTTCTACCGCTACATCGCGCAGGCGCATGACAAGCCCCGCTACACCCTTCACTACCGGACGGATGCGCCGCTCGGCCTCCGCTGCATCTTCTACGTGCCCGAAGAGGTGAGCCGGGCCTGCAGCTCCTCTGCCCATCCCAGCAATCCTGCCCCAAGTGTGCGAATCCAGTGGGGGGGGGGGTTCTCGGGGGAGGTGGACAAGGCAAAGCTTCTGTGGGGTCCACGGAGTGGGGGCACAGACCCTTGGCACTGGGCGGGGGGCAGATGTGGAGTCATGGCATGTGAGTGGGGCCTGGGCCTGTCCCCGGTGCTGGACAGTTCAGCCACCTTGGGGCAGGGCTCCACCCTTCCAGCTTTACCCGCTGGAACCCATAAGCCCTCTGCGTCCACCAGAGGAGAACTGAGCTCATGGTCAGCACCTAGGTCTCCGGGAGCTGAGAGCCGGACCTCAGCCCAGGGTTGGGAATCCATCGTTTGTTCTGTTTTGTCCCATAGCCGCGGCCGTACAGTTCCAGACAGGCCCATCTGTCTCCCCGCCCCCACCCAGGCTTGGCCCCCGAGCTGGCTCCGCCCTGCATAGGCCCCTCCCCACAAGGCTCAGCCCCTCACAGGCTCCGTCCCACGCAGCCTCATCCTGTGTCTTCTCACCCCAGAAACCGTCCATGTTCGATGTGAGCCGGGAGCTGGGCTCCAGCATCTCCCTCTACAGCCGCAAAGTCCTCATCCAGACCAAGGCCACGGACGTGCTGCCCAAGTGGCTGCGCTTCATTCGCGGTGAGGCGCTGCTCAGGCGGACTGGGAGGGCATCCCCAGACAGTGTCCCCCACCAGCTGGTCCTGGGGTGGGGCGGGGCCTTAGACCTTCGGGAAGTTTGAGGGGACCATGAACGTGATTGAGGTTCGGTGTTTCCCTTTGTGGGCACGCCCAGCTGCACTCTGCTTATTCCAGCACTGAGCTCAGGATCACTCTTGGTGAGGCTTGGGGAACCCTGTGGGAAGCCGGGGGTCCCGCACGCGGGGCAGGTGCCCTCCCCGCTGCCCTGTCTCTGGTCTCTGACCGTGTGTCCCCCAGAACTGGAGAGCTGCGCTGCCGCCCACCGTGAGCATGACTTTGGCCAAGTGTAAGCCCAGAGCCCGTGAGCTGAGTGTCACGCTCCCCGGCTTGGTGTCTCCCCAGGTGTGGTGGATAGTGAGGACATCCCTCTGAACCTGAGCCGAGAGCTGCTGCAGGAGAGCGCACTCATCAGGTGAGGGCCGTGTGTCCAGTCCTGGGACTCCTGCTGGCCAGCTCGCCCCTGGCCTTCTGGCTGCCCTCAGCGTCTGAAGCTGTCTGACTAGTGATTTAACAGAATGTCTTTGTCCTGGGAAAATCTAGTGACCCTGAGTGGTCTGTTAGGGCCCCCTTGGGCCTGGGGCTTGGGGGTCTGTTGTGGTTACGCGTTCTGCAAAAGAGCCACGTGTTTCCTTGTATCAGTTTACTTCTGTGAGCTTTCTGAATTCCCCTTTGTTCTTTGTTGTTTTTGTGGGTTTTGGGTTTTTTTTTAACTCAGTTTTATATATTAGTTTTCTCATGTCTGTTGTTCTTCTGTAAATCGAGAGAGTCGGGGTACAGTGAAGTGCCACAGCAAGGAAGAGTACGCTTTTTCTGAATATTCTTCAGTTCAAAAAGTGCAGAAGTGCAGTTGTGGGCTGGAGCAGTAGCACAGCAGGTGGGGCGTTTACCTTGCACGCGGCCAACCCGGGTTCGACTCCCAGCATCCCATATGGTCAAATTCCTGAGTGCAGAGCCAAGAGTAACCCCTGTGCATCACCGGGTGTGACCCAAAAAGAGGGGGGGATGTGCGGTTGCGGCTGGCAGTACAGCGGGAAGGGTGCTCGCCTTGTGCATGGCCGACTCGGGTTTGATTCTCAGCGCCCCATGTGTTCCCTGAACCCTCCCCGAACCCTCCAGGAGTGATTCCTGAGTGCAGAGCCAGGAAGGACCCCTGAGCACCAACGGGTGTGGCAACAGAAAAACAGTGCAGTGTCCAGGTTGGGGCAGCTGGCCGGCGGTCAGGGTGCCTCTGTCACACGCCAACTGGGTTCATTCCCGAGTGCCACATGTGTTCTCCGAGCTGCACCAGGACTGATCGTATTTGGAGACATTTTCCCACACTTGTGTGAATGTGGCAGCATCCTTGTCCCTCATTCATGGTATTTTTGCTTTGCTTTTGTTTTGTTTTGTTTTTGCTTTTTGGGTCATACCCAGCAGTGCTCATGGGGTTAAACCTGGCTCTGCACTCAGGAATTACTCCTGGCGGTGCTTGGAGGAACATATGCCAGGGATCGAACCCAGATCGGCCATGTACATGGCACATGTCCTCCCCGCTGTGCTGTCTTTCTGGGCCCCCATTCATGTTTTTAATTTTTTTACATTAATTTTTTTAATAACAATGTACCATGATTTCTAGTTATTCATAGTTCATGGTTTACTTTGTGGGGGTGGCAGGGGCCACTCTTGGTCAGAGTTGGGTGCTGTGCGCCGAGGGTGTGCCTGACACTGCTGAGGCCTGCAGTGCTGGGGAGTTGGGTGCACCAGGCCCTGTGCTGGGGATTAAACTGGGACCTACATGTGTAAGTTCTTCAGGGGCCACATCTGGCCGTGCTCAGGGAGACGTGGTTGTGTGGGAGGCGTGCTTGGGGTCAGACTCCGGTCTCACACGTAAGGCGAGTGCTTGAGCACCTGCGCCCTGTCCCTGGCTTGTCCGAGCTGTTATTTGTGGGCGTGTACTCCTGGTCATGGTTTGCCCGTGGGAGTGCCCGTGGACTCTGTCCCCTGACATTCCCGTCGTCCAGTTGGGGTCCCCCAGTCTCATCTTTGCCAGCGCCTTTTCTAGGTCTCGCTTCCCTCCTCCTGTGTGTGTTGTGGCCCCTTTATGCAGAGACTGGTGTTTGGTGCCAGTCTTGTCCAAGAAGGAGGCATAGTTCCTGGCTTCTGGCGGACAGTGAGCTTGTTGGTCGCAGTCTCTGCCACCCCTGCCAGTTGCTGCCCTGACACTGAGGGCTCTGCCTGCCCTTGTGCCTTTTGCCAACCCTCTACACCTCCACTCTGCCCACCTGCATGGGCACCCCCTGACTTCACACCATGATCTCGCCGCCAGCCTGTCTGTCCCCTTTACCATGGTGCTGAGACTTGAATCATGCAAAGTGGAAATGAAGAGGAAAAGCTTAAAAGACATGAGCATTACTGTTGGCCTTCCCTGGGGCAGGGAAACAAGGTCTTGTTTAAGATGGGCTGGAAAGATGGCAGGTGAGGCGCTTGTCTTGCACATGGCTGACTGGGTTCAATCCCCTGCACCTCCTATGGCACCGCTGAGCACAGCCAGATGTGGCCCAGAAACAATTGAAAGACGTATATACTTTATACATACATATATGTTTAAGTATATATTATTTAGATATGTATAATATGTAAGTACATGATATACATGTGTGGGTGGGTGTGTGCATACACATACATATATAAAAGTAACAAGACGTGTGGCCACGAACGCTTCCTATTGTGGCGGTGGAGTGCAGAGCCTGTGCCATCACTGTGCCCGCGCTCCTGGTGGAAGGCTGAGCCCCCCCCTCCCTTTGTGCCCAAGGGGCATTTTTCTTTTGGTGGGGTTGGGGGGGCACACCCAGCATTCTCCATGGTGATTGCTGGGTCTGAGCTCAGGGATCACTCCTAGCCGGGTAGCAGGCCAGTTGCGTGCAAGGCAAAACTCTGAAATTTGTCTTTCCTAAGTTTTTCTTTTGTTTTTTTTCCTTGTGTATAAGTACGGATAGCCACAGCCCCTACCCCTAACCCTGTACCAGGGCTTTTTATGGCCTGAGTCTCACCTTTACCTACCCGGACGCCAGCTCTGGCCTTGGCCTCCAGGTGGGATTTTTCATGCCACCACCCACTCCTCAGCCTCTAGGCAAGCACTGATGTGTTGGCTTTTGTGCCGGCATCTCCTGGCCGTGACCCTTGCAGACCTGCTTACTTCCTGAGGCATGCTCCCACATTGGACCCCAGGCTGGAAACTCCCCAGAACTGGCCCTCAGTTGGTTCCCTGAGGGCTGCCCCCTCATCTCCTCACCCGGGGAAGCTGTCTCTGGCCAGTGTGCAGTTCTCATCTCCTGCTCCGTGTGGTGTGATGTGGGCGTGTGTTGTTTGCCCTCCTTGGAGGGTTGGCAGAGTCTCGCGTCCATGTTCCTTCTGGCCGACGTATGTTTCTGTTCATAGGAAAATCCGGGACGTTCTGCAGCAGAGGCTTATCAAGTTCTTTGTTGACCAGAGTAAAAAAGACCCTGAGAAATATGCCAAGTTCTTTGAGGATTACGGCCTGTTCATGAGGGAGGGCATCGTGACCACGGCTGAGCAGGAGGTGAAGGTACGACTGGATTTGGTGGCTCTGAGGTAGCTCTGTGCTTGGGACACTAACACCGCCTTTGGCCTCTGCGCCTCTTTCTGGGGACGGGGCCGAGCTCACATCCTGCTCCTCTCCAGACTGTCCAGCCACGCGCCCAGGCCCTGCACCTGAGCTGGAAGAGGCATCTTTGTGCTCCCATGGGGGCTTCAGGGGCTAGGGGCGGGAAGGTGGCGCAGCAGGCCAGCTCCTGTCTCTGATGCCATTGAGAGGGTTCACAGGGCCATGGGAGACCTGTGAGGGAGGAGTTTGAGGGGAGCACATGAATGAGCTGCAGCTCCACTGTGAGCAGTTCCAGAACCTTCTCCATCTCAAAGAAGCTGACTCTCCTCTTCTACAAACAGCAGCTGGAACACAACTGCTCAACCCTGGGGGCCACGGGTTCTGTTGGCTCTGGGGAGGAGGTGGCCTGGAGTGGCCCTCATTGTGGAGGGTGGCTCTGTCATCCATGACCCAGGGCCGAGTGCCAGTTTGGGGGGCACTCCCCACTCCACTCTCCTGCCACGGCCCCTCATGGGCTGGAGACAGTTGAGGACCCAGAGGAACAGACCTGCCCTTGTCTGCAGGAGGACATTGCCAGGCTACTGCGGTATGAGTCCTCAGCCCTGCCTGCGGGGGAGCTGACCAGCCTGCAGGACTACGCTGGCCGCATGCAGCCCGGCACCCGCAGCATCTACTACCTGTGCGCCCCCACACGGCACCTGGCCGAGCACTCGCCCTATTACGAGGCCATGAAACAGAAGAACACTGAGGTGGGTGAGCACTGGGGGGATGGCTAGGCTGCTCGGCAAATCGTCGCCATCCCCGCAGCTCAGACATGGCCTCCCTGGAGCTCTCCCGGGAGCCCGACCGGCCCTTGGCATCGGGGTCCATCTGTGAAGGAGGAGGTGTCTCCAGGCTAGACGGCGCTTCCATCCTGCAGGTCCTTTTCTGCTACGAGCAGTTTGATGAGCTGACCCTACTGCACCTCCGTGAGTTTGACAAGAAGAAGCTCATCTCTGTCGAGACAGACATCGTGGTCGATCACTTCAAAGAGGAGAAATTAGAGGATGGCTCCGCAGGTGGGTGTGGGTCCTGCTGTGTCCTTTCCATCGGCCCAGGCTTAGCGACCCACTGCCCACCTGTCAGCTGATGAGCATTTCCCTGTGGAGACCCTGGGACTCTAGTGCTTCCGACTGGGCTTCCTTAAACGGCAGCTATTTCCCAAGCTACATGGGAGTCGGGCTACCAGGTGCTGAGGACTCGCTTTTATTTTATTTGCACCATAGCTGGCAAATGCTCAGAAATCGCTTGGGACAGTACAGGATCCCAGGGATGAGACCAGGGTCAGCTGCAAACGCCTTAAAGCAAACGCCTTCACCTGGAACAGCTCTCCAGCCCATGGGTCCCACGTAGTGTTTGATTTTTATTTTCTGACTATGGGGCCACATCTGGCAGCACTCAGGGTGGGTCGAGGGGACTGTATGACGTGGGCTGGCCGCTTGCAGTGCAAGTCCCTTCTCTGCTGCCTCAGGAGCCCTTAGGCTGAACTGTGGACGAGAAACCCCTTTGTGGTATTGGCAGCCTGTCTGCCCTGGGCCAGAGGGTGTGGGGGATAGTGGTGTGCAACCCAGCTTTCGGGGGCTGGACCCAGCAGGACCTGGAAATATGTCCGTGAGTGCTGCTCTCCTCTAGCTGGTGACCGTCTGTCAGAGAAGGACGCAGAGGACCTGATGGCCTGGATGAGGAATGTACTGGGGCAGCGTGTCACCAGTGTGAAGGTGAGGACTCAGAGCTGCACCCAGGCACATAAGCAGGATGCAGGGGGCCGGGCGTGTCATGGCCGTTCCTGTGCCCTACACATGGGGAGGCCCCAGCCTCCACATTCCCTGTAGAGAGGGGGACCAAGACCAAAAGGGGACTCCAGGCTGGTAAGTCGGTGTGTGGGGGGGTGGTATTCTGTAGCTGGACCAGTACCTTCTTAGTCCACACCCCCAAGGGTCAGACCCCACTTCTGCCTTGGGGACCTTGTGGAGGTGCAGCTTGGGGTTTTGGGGAGGCAGGGGGTTGGGTTTTGGGACCACAGTAAGCAATGGACAGGGGCTTTCTCATCTGGCTCTGTTCAGGTGACCCCGGTGGTATTCTGGAGACCCCATGTGGTGTTGGGATTTGAACCAGGGTCTGCATCTGCATGGCCCTTACCCCTGGGTGTCTCTCCAGCCCTGCAGCGTGAGCTGGTTCTTGGATTCTGTTGTGTGGACATCACAGTAATGACAAATCTAGACAGTAGAGCCACAGCCCTCCTCAGCTCGGAGCTGCAGTCTGTCGCGGTTTTGTTAGACCCAGGCTCCATCATGGCTGTAAGGGACGCTGGGCTTCTTAGCCCCTAGGGGTCAGATGCTGAACCACAGACTTTGAGGCTAATAGTTGCACCCCAGATCTTGCACTTCGCCAGGACCTTCCCGGCATGGGCTCAGCTCCCACTCCATGTAGATGGTCAGGGAGGAGGAGCCCTGGCACCTCCCCTAGTGAAGAGGGTCCCCCCTGGCGCATTAGGTGACTCTTCGCTTGGACACGCACCCTGCAATGATCACCGTGCTGGAGATGGGGGCCGCCCGACACTTCCTGCGCATGCAGCAGCTGGCCAAGACGCAAGAGGAGCGCGCCCAGCTCCTGCAGCCCACCCTGGAGATCAATCCCAGGTAAGGCTGTCCTGTCCAGGGCCTAGGGGACCCCGCAGCTGGTCCCTCAAAATGTTGTAGCCGTGACATGCAGTTTGGCCTCTCAGCACCTCCAGAATGGATCGCTCTGAGAAACTGCCCGACGCCAGTGCTCCTTCTCCAACCATCTCAGCTGTCATTTCCTTCCTTGGCCTGGCAGTTTCACATCACCAGCCACTTTGCTGATTCAGGACTAATGTGATTCAGGACTTGAATGAAAATAATGCCCCAAGCATATTTTTTGTCCCCTAGTGATGGGGATATGGTTGTGGGTTGTTTGTTTTGTAGCTGATTAATATTCATAGTGTGGCTCTCAGCACACTTACCTTTTAAGAGGCCAAACCCAGGCCGCCTGCATGTGCTTGCCCTGGCCCAGCACTTACTTGGGTAGTTTCCCTTTGAATATTTTGGTCCCTGTATTCTCTGGGTGTGAGAACCCCCAGTTCTGTACATACTGTACTTTCTGTGACCCGAACTTTAACTGAAGGAATTCTTTTGCAGAACACTTGAGAAGTATTTCCCCACAACATTGCTAGGTTTTTTGGGTCTTGTTTTAAACTTGCTTGAGAGTTTGAACCACCTCCTGCAGGAAGTATGGGTTTGGCCCTCCAAAAGTTTATGCTCCTATATTTGCTTCTGAAAGGCTCTATGGATTTTTGTTGTCTGGAGTTTCTTGGGGATGAGAGCTCATCGCCTTGTACACCCATCATCACTGCCTGCTCTCCCCGTCATCCTTTTAGGAAGTGAGTGCTCCTTGTAAATGAACAGATAGTTTTGTTTTTTTTTTTTTTTTTTTTTTGCTTTTTGGGCCACACCCAGCGATGCACAGGAGTTACTCCTGGTTCATGCACTCAGGAATTACTCCTGGCGGTGCTTGGGGGACCATATGGGATGCTGGGAATTGAACCTGGGTCGGCCACTTGCAAGGCAAAACGCCCTCCCCACTGTGCTATCGCTCCAGCCCCAACAGATTGAAATTTTTTGATTATTGTTTTCAAATAAGAACATACTTTTTTCCCCCATTTATTATTAGGTATCTCGAAATACTTTGTTGTATATGAATATAGCTCCTTTTGAAAATTATATTCAGCAACTATTTGGGGGCCCACACCTGGAAGAGCTCAGGAGTGACCCCTGGTGGTACTCCAGCAAGTACCTTAAACTCTGCACTATCTCTGGCCCAATGAAATTGTTTTAAAATGAAGTTTATAAAGTTTACAAGTTTCCCAAAATGTTAAAAAATCAAAACTAAAGAGATGTGGTGCTTGCTTTTTTGCCTCCCTGCCAGCTCACGTTCGATCCCCAGCATCCCTGAGTGTGGCACGGAAACTGCAAAATAAGACAGACTTCTATAAATCACATGCCACTTTTTTGGGTTTGTAATACAGGGGGTTTTTTTTGTTTTTTTTTTAATAGGACAGATTCCTCTCTAATATACTTTATTATTTATTGTTTCACAGTTAATCTTTGATCCCCCTAGAATCTGACTGGAATAAGAAGCCCAGCTTACTTCCTCTGGGGGCCTACTAACTGAAGTTCAGTAAAGAACTCGTAACCATTTGTAGGTTTTCTGGGTTCTAGGCACACGCTCATCAAGAAGCTCAGTCAGCTGAAAGCGAGCGACCCTGAGCTGGCCCAGCTGCTCGTGGAGCAGGTGAGTCTAGGGGGCGGGGGGGGGGGGGGGTTGACACCCAGCATCCTCCTGAGAATCCTGCCTACCTCCTAGATCTATGAGAATGCCATGATTGCCGCCGGCCTTGTGGATGACCCCAGACCCATGGTGGGCCGCCTGAACCACCTGCTTGTCAAGGTCCTGGAGGGGAGGTGACCGACACCTGTGGGGGAAAGACCACTGACATCTGTGCTGTGATATCCCTTTCAAGCTTTATTAAAGGTATCTTGTTGCCTTACTGTGTTGGACTTTTCGGTCTGGAGCACGACTGACCGCTGGCCCCTCAGACTTACTTCAGCATCACTTCCACCGGATAGTGGTCACTGATGGCCAGAGCCTTGGGGAGGAAATAGTCACAGTGGGCTAACTGCCTGCACACTGTGTGCCTTAATATTCCGGCGAGTGACAGCCAGGCACCTACCATCTGACTGCTTAGCTTGTATGCAGTCTGGAAATCGAAGATGCCAGCTGAGCCGGGCACAATGGCATTCCGCAGCTCGGTTCCAGCGACCACAATCCTGCCCAGCACAAGTTCCCATTAGTGCCCAGGTGGCCCAGCACCTGTACCACTGTCCCTGGGAGAGGCCCTGCGGTACCTCTGCTCACCTGTCATAGGCACAGACAGTGATTGTCACCGTGGTGTCAGCACTGTCGGGAATCAGCCACAGGAAGGTCGGGTCTGTGCGCAGGCGGATGGTTGCCCACTGCGACTGGCTTACGTAGCTGCAGCCAGCGTTGAAATCACCCATGAACATGATGTTCTGCCGGGACACAGCAGCAGGTTGGCTTAGGGCACAAAGCAGGCTGGCCACCAGCCCACGTGGGCCAAGGCCTCACCTCCAAGTTCCACCTCTTCCGGATGTCCAGGTAGACATCATAGAGCGAGTTGATCTCGGCCACTGCCTCAGTAGGGGCTGCGTGCAGAGGAGCGATGGCAAACTCCTTCACCTCTGTGGAGACAGTGTCTGCTGAAGCCTGGGGCAGTCATGCATTTGGGGGTGGACCTTGTCCAAAGCACGAGGGCGGTTTAGGGCAGCATATGACATTCAAGGTGTCCTCAGGGGTTGGCAGGGCCCCAAGTGCACTCACCAGTGTACCGGGAGGAGAACTTAACAATGGCCGGCTCTCGGCTGAAGGTATCGTTCCCACATGGCTGACAGCCATCGTCATACAGGTACGAGTCCAGCACAGACACCTGGTCAGGCCTGACAGCGGAGGTCAGCCTGTGGCTGGGGAGGCCACCAGCACACAGGCCTGACCTGAACCCTGCTCTGCCTCAGGCTTGGCTCCCCAGAACCCCCGGCTATACCTGAACACAAACAGGTAACGTTCTTTGTAGGTGCTGCGCCCCAGAGGCTCGCTGGCCACATAGTGGTAGGTGTCAGAGCCCTTCCTGATGGACGAAACACCCAGGTCAGTGGACCCTTAGCCTGACCCCAGCCCCTGAGGGATGCCCCTGCCACCGTAACCCACTCATTTAGTTTATCCAGAAGTGTCCCCACGGCCGTAAGGTGACTGTCTCGGACCTCCTGGACAACAGCGATGTCATAGCGGCTCAAGATCTGGTGATAGGACCAAGGCTGTACTGAGCAGGGGGTCACAAGCAGGGGTCCCAAGACGCAGACCTGATCGGGGTCCTGTGACCCCTCCCGACCAGCCATGTGGACCCACCTGCACAATGTAGTTGGCGAGGGTGGCGTTAGATATCTTGGCCTCTCCAAAAGTCCGGATGTTGAAAGCTGCTATTCTCAGGGACAGGGCCACCTGGAGCATTCCGGCCAGGGCAAGCAGTGCCCCTGTCAGCTTAGCACTCCTCATCCTAAAACGGGAGAGGTGATGACTGGGTGCCTGGGAGCAGAGGCACCCCCCCACAGGGCCTCTGGGCACACAGCTCTGGGGCAACACTTGCCTGGAACATGCGACTTTGCAGACCACAGGACCCTCTCCTGCAGGAGCTGCTGCGGCTGGAAGTCTTGGCACAGGAATGCCCGTCCAGTGCGCATTTTAAACGTCTAGGCGGCTGTGACCTTTTCCAGGAGTCACAGGGTAGGCGGGACAACAGTGCTGCCTTTCTCAGTCACCTGTGCTGCCCCCAAAGGCACAGCCAGGAGTGTTTGTGCTGGATGCTGACACACCTGATACTACACTCCAGGCACCTGTGTCGGTCACATATGCTACTCTCCCAGATGAGTGGGGCAGGCACAGCCTGTGCAGTAACCTTGACCAGAGGCTGCTGCAAGTGGGGCTGGTGGCCTGGGACTCATCCCCTGCTTCCTAATTCTGGGGCTGTGGAGAGAGCACAACAGGTAGGGTGCTTACCTTACACACAGCAGACCCGGGTTCAATCCCAATCCTCCATATATGGTCCCTGTGCAGAGCCAGGAGTAAGTACCTCCAGCTGTGTACCCTCCTGCCCACAAGCACTGGGAAGAGCAGGGCCTATCTGAGGTGAGCAAGAGGTCATGTGTCCTAGGAGCAGGCCACAGGAGGCAGCAGCTGAGGGTCTATGCCTCGGGGCTCTTCACTTCTTCCTAGAACCTCTGATCTTGCTTTTTAGTTGTATGTGTTTCCTTTGACTGTTACAAGAAGTCATCACAACCTTGATGGCTTAAAACAACAAACATCTCTGAAGTTTTAGAGACCAGTTTCACTGGGGGCTTCACGCCTCAGGAAGCACGGGGGGGGGGGGGGGGGGGGGAGCATGTCCTATAACTCCCATTCTCTTCTGCACCGGTTCTCCTGCCCCGACCAAATTTTGGGTCCTCCCCAATAATCAAGGCTAACCCCCACCTTGCAAGCCTAAATCACATCTGCAAAATCACTTATGCTATTTAACCCTACAGGTCCAAGGCTGTGAGGAAAGGGCTGGGGGCAGAGGCCAGAATGCACCACAGCTGTGAAAGCATGTCACAAGGGGAGGAGAGACAATGAGAAAAGTAAACCCATCTCCAGGAGTAACAGAAATCATGAAAACCCACTGGGATCTGCAAGTCACGAAGCCAAGCAGCTTGTGTCCCTGGGTGTCTGCAAGAGGGGGATCCTTGGGCTACCAGCTCTCAGCCTGTCAAAATCCAGACCCCACGCTCCAGGCTAGACCGTCTCTGCGCACAACACAGGTGGAGAGACTCTGGACACTGGTGACAGGATCCTTGTCAAGTGTGGGGGCCAACTTGAAGGGGCTCTGGACCACACCAGAGTACTGGTCCCAGATGGGAGTAGAAGCCTACCGGCACCCCACCCTCCTTGCATCCTGCTCTGGGGTCTCCCAACCTCTGCCCCCACCCAGCACTTCACTGTACAAGTCGAATCTGGGTTGTCCTACAAACAGGAAACTCAATGTGTCCACTAGGAATTTTTTTCTCATACTCAGGGCACATGGGAGCTTCACTCTAGAGCTGGGATGGCAGAAACCCATAGCATGCTCTTGTACCATGGTGGAAGGTGGGAAACTTCCAGAGTGATGAAGAGAAATCCCACTGCCTCCCAAGGTCGGGGCTGGCAGGTGCAGGGGCTTCTGCCCACTCTGCTGGGCCTGGAAGTGATGCCTGCCTGAAGTTGCTGGTTAGCAAGAGAGAACTTCTCTGTATAGGAAAATCTCAGCTCGAATGTGACCACAGTAACACACACCCCCTCTTGGGCCCATCATCAATGGTCATGAAGCAAGACCAGCACTGCACCTGCCAATCTGCAAACAGCACGTAGGCAGTATACCCAGATGGCCCAGAATCTGAGGGAATCCGGCTCTACCTACCAACTTAAAGCAAGTACCAAGGGCAGCGGCTCACACTCCCCAGCACCAGGGGACACCGCAAAGCCACCCAGGAGACACAAGGTAAAGGACAGTCTCATCAACTTCAAGAGAACAGTGAGAGGAAATAAGAGCTAACCTTTCACTGTATTATGTAAATTGCAACCTGTGATTTTCATTTGGAGCCTCAACAGATTTAGAAACACACGTTTAATAAATCATTTACAAGGCCATCAAAAATCTGAACACGGGCTAGAGCAATAGCACAGTGAGTAGGGTGTTTGCATTGCATGCGCCCGACACAGGTTCGATTCCCAGCATCCCATATGGTTCCCCAAGCACCGCCAGGGTAATTCCTGCGTGCAGAGCCAGGAGTAATCCCTGAGCATCGCCGGGTGTGCCCTCCCCCCCCAAAAAAAAATTGAACACATACCTGGTAACCAATGAAAATTAAAGTTTTCTGTCTGATGATGTCTTAGAGTTGATTTCAATGATCCTTAGACTTCAGGTTCCCGATAACAATGAAATGGTTTGCTCCTGGAAGTTGGACAGGGATGGGGATGTGAGATTCATTATGCTAGGGTTTTTTTTTTTTTGCAATTGTCAAGAAGTTGCAATTTTCCATGATTAATTTTGAAAATTTTATAAATAAAAATGTAAGCTAAAACCTTGGGGCTGGAGAGATAGTACAGGGGTTCAGGCCTTCTTTACCTTGCATCCCGCTCACCCCCGTTCCATCCCAGGCACTGCATGGGTCCCCAGAGTACTTCCAGGAGTAACCCCTGCCAGCCACAGTTATAGTTCAAGAGGGAAAGAAGGGCAGTTGGGCTGTTGGTAAGAGGTAGCCGTTTCTTAGGAAGGTGGGGGCGAGGAAGACTGAACTCAGATGGCCGGAACCTGTGGGAACAGCCCTAGTCCATCTTTGGGCAGTGCTGTGCAGTGCACGCGCCCAACAGGACCCAATCCAGACTCCCTGTCTCTCCTGCTTGTGGCACCCAGACGCTCAGACACTTCATCTGGGTCCCTCGTCTGCAGGGCTCCGCAGGGACCCGATGAGCATGTGCATCGTGTCCCCGTAGGCTCCTGCTTGTTCCTCCCAGCAGCGGGACATATGTCAGGCTCATTCTCACCCCGCTCCGTGCTGTCAGCAGCTTCTCATTGGTCTGATGTCGGCCCGCTGCCAGGCTCACCATTTTGGCTCTGTCCTCTCCCCAGCAAGCGAGACACCCCCAGGCCAGGGTCACCTTCCTCATGACCTCATCGCTGTTTTCCCTGCTGCAGACCTGTCTCCTGACTGGAAGCCAAGCCCTGAGAAACAGACCTGGCCGTCTTGTGCCTCAAGTGTCCAGAGGCGCCCGGAGGGAACTTCCCTTCCACAGGAGCCGCCAGCCTCCTGCCGGAGACAGGGAACAATGCTTGGGCTAGTAGGCTGGAGCTGACCAGAAACGGCCATGGCGGTGCTGGCCCCTGAGGCCAGACTCGGCCCCTTCACTTCCCTACCTGGTCCCTTGGGGAGGCAGGGCACAGCCAGCAGTGCTCAGGGCTCGAACCCAGGCCTCCTGCTGCCTGCGCCGTGACTGGTGGTCTGCACTCAGCGCAGTTGGCAGGCTGCCGGCCCCGGCCCATGACCCGGCATCAGCTCCCCACCCTCCTGAATCTCCTTCTGTTCATTATCAAGAAACCATTAACCCAGGGTGGAAATTTTCGCAGCCCCAAACGTGTCTGAGTCGCAACAGCCCACAACAGCTTCAGTCCTGTCAGAGTGACCCGGCTTCCGCCTGGCACTGAGGCCTGAGTAGCAGGGCAGATATGAACTCCCACCCCAGTGCTCAATGCTCCTTTCCTCTGCATTTAGGAGAGAAGCAAATGAAAATGTGATTTTTAAAAGGCACTTTTTGAGGTGTCCATTGGAGAGACTGGCAGCCATGAGAATAAATACTCCACACCACAAATTTGGGAGAATGAAGCCAGACAGAGGCAGGACCAAGAGAGCCAGGGTGGACAGCTGTGGCGAGCGGGAGGGGGCTCTTCTTGGGCGACACTGCTGTCAAAGCAATGAGGGTCTAGAACCACTCTGCCCTGTTATGACGGGCCCATGGGCCATATCAGTCCCAAGAGGTGCTGGCAGGGGAGAGGAGGGGCTATACACGTGGTCAACGTCCCCAGGTACAATGGCTGTGAGGACTGGACTCGGGCACTAGGGCCTGTGCCCAGTGATGGCACTGTCCTTCCCAGCTCTGCCCACCCTTCCTAGATGGAGCGGCTGGGAGGACTGGCAGCACTGTCCCCTGGCGTGACTCACCTTTCCTTTCCTGGGTGCTGAGGTGACAGTGCGGAGGAGACTACTGTCCCAATCTGGGCCCTTCCACCCCCAGAAAATCAGAGCTCCAAATCTGAATTCTGGTGAGGGCGGGAAGTGCGTGGGAAGAGCCGCCACAGGACTCCAGTGAGGAAAGGCCTTGGGCGCCTGGCCTCCCACAGGGGCCCCGAGACAGCCCCTCACCAAGCTTGCAATGAGTGGGGGAGCTCCGACTGTGGGCAGGTACAGCCCCTCCATGCCCCACAGAGAAGTGTCGCGACATGCAGCACCCCAGAAGAAAACAGGCAGGAGATGCAGAGGCCCTGGCACCTTCTGGAATCGTGAGGCCCGGGCTGGGGTATAGCAGGATTCCCATGGCTTGAACCCTAGACCAGAAGCCACCTGCACTCACCGTGTGAGACTAGCATGCCGGACCCCCCTCGCTCTTGGTCGCATGGAGACTACTCGGTGCCATCAGGAGACAGAGCCCCTCTTCTTGCAGAGCTGGTGACCAGCCCCACAGTCCACCAGCCCTGGCCTGCAAGCACCCAGCTGGGCACCGGGCAGGGTTCTGGTGTAACGGACTCTTTTCTGCTCCTCAACCGGGCTCACTGCCCATGGCCTTCAGGATCTGACATGTGAGTCTGCGGAAGGTGTGGTAGGCGGTGGGGGAGAGCAACACTGCATCATCCTGCTGTTCATTCACACGCTGACGCGAACAGAAGAGAAGAATGGAACAGAAGTGTTCATGGCAGTGCACTTAGCCAGAAAGCACCCCCTGCTTGAAAGCTTCTGCTAGATAACTGACCCTATTTGGATCCCTGGCACCACAATGGTTCCCTGGAGCACTGCCAGATGTCATTCTTGAGCAAGAGCC